AGTTAGGAAGTGATGGGCAGGGATTGATAGTTGGTACCAGACAAAATCCAGCTGGATTCTTTTCAGCTTAGTGAGGTTGTGCAGTTTCTCCCAGTTCCTTAACTAAACAAATGGACTTGTGTTATGATGTATAAAATGAGAAGGTCTGGTTTATTGAAAGCATTTGGTGACTGCTGTCACTATAGCCATGGAAGGGTCATCAGCAGGTGGAGGTGGAAGCTGTAGAGGTGTGTCCTTCCTCTGGAAGATCTAATGTGCTCTTTGTCAAAACCCATTCCTTATATGCTGCAATCCCTGCCCATATTTAACCTACTTTTTCCCAAGTCTACCAGACTTACTGTTGGCTTCCCACCCTCTATATAAACTAGATGACTATGAAGTGCTTCTTCCTTGGTTGTTGTCGGAGAACAGCAGGTACAGGCAGAATTCACTTGGTGTCTTTAATTTTGTTACTCAGGCCAAAGCTACCCTCTGTGCAAGAGATAGCCTAGAAGATTTGATAATGAAATCATCTAAAAGATGCCATGTGGAGAGGGTGTTCTAAACTAGATGTTTAAAAACCTACTGTGTGTCTCAGACTAGTTTAGCTGGGGAATTACTGATATTCCACAAACAAAGAAAAAGCAACAAAACCTAAACCCAGGTTTGGGGGCTTTGCGGTCTTCACGTTTTGTTTTCATCTCTGACATAATTACTAGAATTTTTAGCTCACTAACATTTTAAGGCGCAGCTGTAATGTGGATAGAAAGGTCCATGTGGCAAACGCTTGTTCCCAGCGTGGCACTATTAGGAGGTCATGGAACCTTTAAGAGGTGGAGCCAAATGGGGGTGCATTTTGGGTCATCAGGAACCATGCTCTCAAAGGGATTATGTAACTCTGGCCCCGTCCTTCCCTTTGCTTTCTAGCTGTGAAGGGTGAGGCTCTGCTCTCACCCACCAGGCTGCCTTGCTAGGGGCCCACCCAGTGCAACAGAGCCCTCAGTCCTGGACTGAGACCCCAAAGCACTGAACCAAGAGAAACCTCTGCGCTTTGTACGTTGATGTGACCCAGGAATTGATTACAGTGACAGAAAGCTGACCAAAATGAGTTTATTTGATTTTCGTATACTAGACAATAAAGAGCATTCACTGAGTGAATATTTAAAACAATTAGAAAATAATGGATTTCAGCCGGGCAATGGTGGCGCACGCCTTTAATCCCAGCACTCAGGAGGCAGAGGCAGGCGGGTCTCTGTGAGTTCGAGACCAGCCTGGTCTACAGAGCTAGTGCCAGGACAGGCTCCAAAGCCACAGAGAAACCCTGTCTCAAAAAGAAAAAAAAAAAAAAAGAAAATAATGGATTTCAGTGTTAAATACTTTCTTTAAGATGGCCTTGTAGTGTAGCCCAGATTGGTGTCACACTGTGTTCCTCCTCCTCAGTCCCCTCAGTTTTGAGATTACAGGCGTGGGTCACCGTTCTGACTCTCCTGTATGTAACTCTGTTCCATTCTGATGCTCTTCGGTACTTAGTAATATTTTTAATTTTCTAGTTTATATTTTGACAAAGGTTTACATGTATGTAGTTTCAGGTCTAAATGCCCAGCACTTTGGAAAACTGTGGTCCCCAACAACTACCTGTTTCTGATCTACCTGACAAGGAAACAGCCACGAGGGTGGATATATCATCTTTTCTCCCCACTCCTCCCTCAGCCCTCTAAGAGGTGGACAGACAGCAGGAAGCCTGGTTGTGAAGTCCATGAAGGCTGGCCTCCGTGAAGGCTGGCCTCTGGCCTTGAGAAAGGTAGAATCCAGACAGAAGGAAGGCCACGCCCAGGAGTTTTGTTTTAGAGGCCTGTGGTCTTGTGGTTGTTTTAAATACCGTGTTTGTCCTGTGTAGTAGGTGTGGTTTCTTTTTATTATTCCATGTATTCGTGTGAGTGTGTGTGTATGTATTTGTGTGTGTGTCTGTGTGTGTGTGCGCGCATGCGTTGCCTGCATGTGAGAGTGGATGTCAGAGGACAGCTGTGAGAGCGGAGCCATTATCCAGCCTACAAGTTTTCCACTTGAAAACTTCCCTTCTTCCAGCACTGGCTTTGTTTGGTTGGGGTTGTGCTTTCTCTGTTTTTCCTGGTAAGAGCTTCTCCTACGGTGTCAGCTGAGATGTAACTGCAGCTCTGAGCTGGTGGAAGCCCTGTGCAGATGGAAGGGGCTTGGCATCTTGGGTTTTGACTACAGGTTGAGATGACTTTGACCATTTTGGGGGAGTGTCCATCTCATTAGCATTTTCTTCATGAATTCATGGCTGTTTCCAGCATTGGCAGAGCCAGCTAGAGAAGAAGGGTCAACGCCAACTCATCCTCCCGTCAATATACTGTCCTGCCACTGAGACCTGCCCTGGGGTCAAGCAAGCCAGAGCGTCCTCTGCTCCCCGTCAGGAAAATAGAGCCGGCTTCCTGCAGGAGTCGGGTCTGACTGCGTATAAGACAGCTTCCAATCAATCCTTCCACTTTTGCTCCTTCCTTCGCTTTATCTCAGAACCAGTTTAAAATTCCACTCTTGGCTTTCTTCATTAACAGCACCAGGTTCAGATTTCTTTGGTTGCTAAGTTAGTTACCAGTTGTCTGTCCCTGGATGCTGTTTTTGTCTTCCTATGAGATGGTGCCTTGGAGGAGAAAAAAAGAAAAAAGGAAAAAAAAAAACTTAGTAAGTTTCACTTTAGTGAAAGTTTATATTTTCTAAGGACAGTAAACTAGTGTGTCTTTAAAAAAACATTGTTCTTTTGGTAGTGGTGGCACACACCTTTAATGCCAGCACTCTGGAGACAGAGGTAGGCAGATCTCCAAGTTTGAGGCCAGCCTGGTCTACAGATCAAGTTCCAAGACAGGTAGAGCTATACAGAGAAACCCTGTCTCAATAAAACCAATATATATAGTTCTTGTTAGCTGATCCTGCCCCAGTGGCATTGGCGACAGGAACAATCGCAGACCTTGAGGTCCATTCCCGAAGGTTCTGGACTGTCAGTATATCTGCACGCCTTTTCTGGAAGTTCCAGGCTCATGGCTGATGCCTTCAAGTCTTGGCACCCAGTGATACTGGGAGGAAAACAATGATCACAAATTCTTTCATTTTTAATTTGAGTTTTTTTTATTGTTTTCATGATCTTTCTGGGCGTTTTAAAAGTTGTTTATCTATAAACCCAGTGATCTCAGTGCACATTCTTTCCTTCACAGAGGCAGCTACGAGTTGGCATGCTATTGCATTCACCCCATTTCTCCCTTACTCCAACCTTTATCTCATTTTTATCTCACCCATCAGTCTCTCTTGCTCCAGAGAAGTCATCGTACTGTGTTCTTCCTTAAGAAAATCACCCTGTGCTCTCGGGGACCATCCCAGAAAAGGGGATGGGAGGACTGTGAGATTGTAAGCGGAGGTCAGGAAGGCAGGACTGTTGCAATCTTGAGCTCCCATCCCCTGTGGTTGCCTGCACACAATCAAGCCAATCAACATTCCAACATGAAGTGGGGAAGGACTCAAGATCCCTCACCACTGAGGAGCCAGGGGAGACCCTTCTGGGATATGGGGTGGTAGTTTTCTTTAGGGGTGTGCGCCTGGTAGGTCAGTAGGTGCTCCATGATGACCCTACACCTGTGAGTATATGAGCTGCTCAACTTGGATTCAGTTGGTTATTTAAAAAAAAAAAAAAAAAAAAGACATGAAGTAGGGAGGTGGAATGGATGTGGGAGGGATTAGGAGGAGTAGCAGTGAATATGATCAAGATACGTTTATATGCATGTATGAAATTCTCAAAGGATTAGTACAAATATTGAGGTCAGGTGTGACGGTGCTTAGAAGGTGAGGCAAGTTGACGTCTTTGAATTCAAGGTCAGCTTTATCTACCTGGTGAGTTCCAGCCAGCAGGATCACATAATGAGACCCTGTCTCAAAAAAAAAAATGCTTTCTTGCCTATATTAAGGGGACTGATGTGTAGATCTAGAGAACATTCATTCTTTTGCTTTATCCATTTTTCACTGTTTATGACCCCCCCCCATTGTCTCTCTCCTTCAGGAAGCAGAATAATTGTTTTTTTGCTTTCCAAGGTTAAGTCCCTTGAACCTACACAGGATAGTAAAGACAACAGCTTGTACAAAAATCAGGACAGATTTAGGGCTGTGGACAAGGGGCTTCAGAGTTAAATAGGCTTGGCTTGCGCGCAATGCCTGTACTCACCACCAAAATAACCTTGATGTTAACTCCCCTCTTGTGCTTCAACTCCGGGTCTGTGCAGTGAGGGACATGCCAGCTACACTTTAGAGTTGGTGTGAGACTGAGCTTCATGTTGTAAACTCCGAAATGGAAGTTCATGATGCTGAAATAGTAGAGTATTTGGGTGTATTTCTGTCTCTGGCATCAAGTCCTACAAGGCTCGGAATTGTGCCCTTCCTCTTGTATATTACACATTTAGAAGTGTACCCAACACAGAGAAAATGAGAATGAGTGGTGATGAGTCACTTTAAACTGATTGCCAGGTAAATTAGCTTCTCTGCATTTCTAATGCCCGGTTATTCCTGTTCCTCGCTTGCAAAGGCTGACTTTGCATTTATGTCTACTCCACTGTGTGCTTGAGTGTGACGCCCAGTGTGACATCATTTATGTCTACTCCTGTGTGTGCTTGAGTGTGGATGCCCAGTGTGATGTCAGGTGGCTCCCTGAGATGCTCTGTCCCTTTCAGCGTCTCCACCTGAGCCCAGAGCTTGCCATTTTAGCCAGTTTGGCACTACGGTCCACTTACTCCAGGAGACCCTGTCTCCCAGTTGGTGGGATTACAACCCCTCCATGGCCTCTTCGTGGCCCAAAGTCCGGTCCTCGAGACTGAGGAGCAGCCATTTTCCTCCAGAGCCACCTTTCCAGCATCTGCAGACACTGACGTCTGTGTAACTTGGTGTTGTAGACTTGAGTGGAATTGTGAGTGCTTTTAACAGATAATCAACCAGCTTTTCGTGTTTTGTTTTTCCCTCTCCAGGGAGGTGGTGCAAGCAAACTGTGTTCGCTGGAGAAAGAAGTTCTCGTTTATGTGCAAGATGAGTGCCAGCGCCTCCACGGGCATCCTGGACCCTTGTATCTACAGAGTGTCTGTGCGGAAGGTATGAAAATAGCCCGTTACTCCTCCTCTTTCAGAAACCACAGTTAGCTACAGTCACTGGCCCACTTTATTTAGATCTGCTTTAACGGTAGAACTGTAACTTCACGCTTAGAGCAAGAAATGAAATTGCTCTGGCAAATATGGTGGCAAACCTGAGGCTATTACTCAGGAGCCAAAAAGCTTTCTTCACAGAAATACTGTACACATCTGCAGTAGTTTGGGAGTGTGTGTGTCTGTATCCTGTCATTAATCAAATTCCTAGTCTTTGCTTTATAAAAATATTTTCATTAATTCTTTGAAACTTTCATACAATGTATTTTGACATACTTAAACTCCTCCCCCAACCCTTCTTCCCATACCTTTTCCACCTTCACTGTCCTACCCACCCAGCTTTGAGTTTTCTTTTCTTTATTTTTTTAAGCAGTTCAGTTTGTTTTCTGACTGCTCTTGGGAGTGGGGCCTGCCCTGGGGTGTGGTGCATCACCCTAAGCAATAGAGGAGAGGGGGCCCCGAACTGCCCTTGTCCTGGAGTCAGACTGATAAATATCTTAATATCACCATAGAACCTTCATCCAGTAACTGATGGAAACAGAAGCAGAGACCCCCATCAGAGCACTGGACTGAGCTCCCAAAGTCCAATTGAAAAGTGGGAGGAATGAGAATATGAGCAAAGAGGTCAAGACCATGATGGGTTCACCCACTGAAACAGTTTGCCTGAGCTAATGGGAGCTCACCAACTCCAGACAGACAGGGAAGAAAACAGCGTAGGTCCAAATTAGTCTCTCTGAATGTGGGTGGCAGTTGTATGGCTGGGGCAGACTGCGGGGGCCACTGGCAGTGGCACCAGGATTTATTCCTACTACTTGTACTGGCTTTTTGGGAACCCATTCTCTTTGGATGGATACCTTGCTCAGCCTAGATAGAGCCTTGGACCTTCGCCAAAGCAATGTGCCTGGCCCTCTCTGAGGAGTGGATGAGGAGTGAGGTGAGGGGAAGGTAGAGAGAATGGGAGGAGTGGAGGGAGTGGGAACTGGGATTGGTATGTAAAACGAAAAAAAGATAATTTAAAAAAGAAAAAGAAAACTGACTGTCCCTCTCCCAGCCGCTCTCAAATGCCAGTATCTCCCCAAGCAGCCAACTAGCAGTTGGATTTTTCCCCACTCTGCTCCCCCCCAATGCTGGGATTTGCCTGGATTGAGCTTGTACAGGTCTTGTGTGTGCATAGCAAATTTAAGGCCAAATCTGGGCTGTCCCATGACCCTTTCATGTGCATTTCACATTTTTACACATTTTTTTTCTGATTTTTTTTCCGAAACAAGAGCCACTTTGTAGCTCAAGCTAGCCTGGAACTTGCACATAGCCTGGGCTTATCTCAAACTCATGACCCTCCGTGCCTTTTCTCCTGAGTATTGGGATTACAGGCATACCACCGTGCCCAACTTTATATACATTTTTTTTTTTTTTTTTGGTTTTTCGAGACAAGGTTTCTCTGTAGCTTTGGTTCCTGTCCTGGAACTAGCTCTTGTAGACCAGGCTGGCCTCGAACTCACAGAGGCCCGCCTGCTTCTGCCTCCCAGCTAAAGGCGTGCTCCACCACCGCCCAGCTACATACATATTTTTTAAGTTACCAGAGTACAGGTATATGCTGGCAAAGGTACAGACTTAGAATGAGAAATGTGGGTCTTCTTGCTCTTTTCCACCCCAGTCCTGCATCTTTCTAGATCAGATTTAAAAACTATATTCTTAGATTTGATTCCCGCATTTTGAATGAATTATTAGCAGTGTGTGTTAGATGGGTGGCTTTATCCCAACCTCCGTATATTGCTTGATACACTCAGAATATAATAGATACATGTGTACAGACGTGATTTTACACGTTTTAGGACTTTATAAAAATAGCTGTGTTTGGAGCAGTAGTAACTGAGTGGAGGCTTCTGCAGAGGAAGTGTGGTACAGAAAAGGCTCACACACAGTGGTACCAGCCTGCCACTTACCAACTGCGAGACCTTAGGCCGTGGTGACTCTCAGTCCCTGCATCCAGCCTGATGCTTGGTGATGAAGGATTAGCTGACAGCATGAGGCATCCCACCTTCTTCCCCTTGCGGCCCTGACTGCTGCCTCTGTCCTTAGATTAAAACTCTTCCCAACGGAGCTCCAACCATGACGCTTGAAGGATGATGAGCTAGTCTTTGGATTTCAAGAAAAATGAATCATATAACCAACTTAGAGTACAGGGTGCCCACAGATTAAATAAACTCAAACTCTAGTAAAACTAACAGAAACTGTAAACGCCAGTTACGCGAGGACATACCTCGAATAAACCCTTTTTCATAGAATAGGGCTTTGGATATTCATTAGGACGGGTCTTAGCTTGCTTCCTTTTGCCGTGATAAACATCATGGCCAGAGCAACTTGAGGAAGGATGGTTTTATTTAGTCTTACAGCACACAGCAAAAGAGAAGTCGGGGTGGGAACTAGAGGCAGGAACCGAAGCAAAAACCATGGAGGAACACTGCTTACTAGCTTTGTTCCCCGTGGCTTGCTCAGCCCGCTTCCATATACACCTTAGTCCGCTTCCATATACACACCAGGGGTGGCCGCTCACAGTGAGCTGAGCCGTCCCCTCCCACACACACATCCATCACTAACCAAGAAAACGTCCCCCTAAGCTTTTCTACAGGCAGTCTGATGGAGGTATTTTTCTCAGTTGGGGTTCTGTCTTGCCAGATGACCTGAGCTTGGACCACATTGACAGACTAACCAGCACACAACATACATGTCAAACTGCTAAGACAGACCCCAAAGGTCAAAGATAAAATGGTATAGACGTTGGTTCAGAACCTGAGATGAAAATAGTAGCTCTGCCATCTTTAGCATATGGTCCCATCTTTATAAAGGTCTAAGGTCCAGTCTTGTGGCATAAGGACAGAGCTGATTCAAAAACCGTGCCTGTGTCTTTTTTGTACATCCCTCTGGTTAGGACTCAGTTGTGTGGCCACACCAAACTGAAAGGCTGTGTGGGCGGTAGGTTCTAACGCGTCAGAAGAGAGGCTGGGAAATCACCAGTAGTCTTCTGCTGTACCTGACTACTCAAGGCGGCAAGTTTATTCTACGTAACCTTCCCTGCGTATTGGACAAAGAGCGGAGCACTCATCTATTTAAACATGTTGGACATTTTTTAAAAAAAAAAGTCACAAGCAAAGTCATAAATTAGGGGAAATTACTCATGAATAATATCAAAAAACTAATTAATACAGAAAGAACACCTCTACACAGTATAAAAGAATCAGCAGCACTTAGGAGAAGTTGACAGCTGACAGTATGTCCCCCCAGAAAGTATTTTAAACAAACAATGTCCCTAATCTTACACAAATTAAACCTACAAATAGACACCATTTTGTCTCCAGATCTGGTAAAGACCAGAGTTTGGGAATGAACCCTGTTGCCTAGACACAGGGAAGCAGTCACACAATAAGCCTGTTAGTGCCACCGTGTGCCGGGTACTGCTCTGGGGTCTGGGAAGATGAATGAACTGGAACAGAGTTCCAGACCTCCTGCATTCCTGCATTTTACTTTCTGGTGAGAACCGGGGAACAGAAAGCAAGAGTTTAGCAAAATAAAATTAGTTTAGTACCGATAAATTTCACACATAAAAAAAGCATGGGGAAACAGAATAATTTAGGAACGAGTGATGGTTTAGAAATTGATGAGACACCTCTGTTCTCTTCTCCCATCCCAGAACTGTGGCCATAAAGCCGCACCTAGCTTTTTAAATGGGTACTGGGCATCTAAACTAGGTATGTCCTCATACCTGTGCAACAAGCACTCTTTCCAGCTGAGCTATCTTCCCCAGCACAGGGTAGGTTGGCTGGCTGGCTGGCTGGTTGGTTGGCTGGTTGGTTGGCTGGTTGGTGGTTGGTTGGTTGGTTTTTGAGACAGGACCTCATGATCTTCCTCCTGCCTCTATCTCCCAAGTCAAAGAGTATAGGCATATACCACCATGCCTGATTCATTGGGAGATTCTAAAGAGGAGAATCATGGCCTTTTCTAAGATCATGCCATTCTGCTGCTGCTGCTGCTGCTGCTGCTGCTGCTGCTGCTGCTGCTGCTGCTGCTGCTGCTGCTGCTGCTGCTATGGCAGAAAGTTGGCCTTAATATTTCAAAGTAGAAATGCTTAGGTTTGCGGATAGTAGTTTTACAGAGAGATGGGCATTATTTTGGGCAACCAGGTACCCAACTAAAAGGACAGGATTCTATTACATGGAAAGCAAGAATAGATACTGAAGGTACAGCTAGCTTCTCTCTGCAGAAGCTAAATAAAGGAGTGGGCGCAGGATGGGAGAGGCTGGAGGAACAGCAGCCAGGGAAGCAGCAGGGAAACCGGGCGGATGTGGCGTCAGGGAGAGGTAGAGAGGAAAACGATGTAAGAAAGGAGGTAAGTGGCCGAGCCCATCGCATACTCAGCACAGGCTAAGATGGAGACAGGGAGCTTTTAGCTTTAACAAAATACTGGGAATCCTGAGCTACTAGGGAGGGAACCTGAGGGAAATCCAGGTGAGAGGGCTGACTACAACAGAAAGCAGCAGGTAGAGGTATAAGTCTTTGGAATGTTTGGCTTCTTGTTTTTCATTTTTTATTCTTCTCTCATACGTTCCATCCGCACTGCACTTTCTCCTCCCTCTACTCTTCCCAGTCCCCAAGAGTCAGAAGTCTTTCGAATATTGACCACAGAGGAACAGCAATGAAAAGAATCAAGCTGAGGAACCAAGGAACACCTAGAGGACATTTCCTTTTGTTTAAGAATGGCACTGTTGAGGGGTGTGAAGTGACCCAGTGAAGAAGAAATTCTGATGGTTCCTATGGAATAAAACAGTGGCAGGGAAGGGGAAGAAGAGCAGATATTCATAAGTAGTAGCAGAGCTCCCCGTAGACTCCCTGGGCGAAAGATAGAAGTGACAGAGAGCACTTCAGTATCAGCGTCGTGAAAAAGAGCGACAGCTCTGTCACTAAAAAATGTTCTTGAAGGGACTTTAGCGCAGGGAAGTTTGCCGGTGACAGCAGAAGGAGACAGCCCACAGGGTGGTGGACATTGTTCTAAGAGCTTTACAATCAGCCTTCACAGTGTGTGCTGTCCTCAGTTCAAAACTGTGGCCCACAGTCGTGGCCGAGGGACGCTGAGGGGAGATACTTGAGCCCCAGGAGCTCCAGGGCATTCTGTGCAGTGTAGAGAGACTCCATATCAAGACTGACTAAATAAGTAAAGCCGCAAGCAGAGTGAAAAGTTTGGTCATTATTAAGGTGTTGTCGTTGATTTGAATGGTTGGATTTAAGGTCAGTCTGTGGTTATCATCTGTGACATTTGCTAGCATGCACATGTCTACCCAGAATCATTTGGCTTGCGTTTAGTCTGAAATCCTTCTTCATATAATGTTCTCATAGTGTTTTCTGTATTTGCAGGAATTGAAAGGTGGCAAGGCTTATGCAAAGGTAAGGAGATGGCCTCTAACTCTTCTGTAATCCATAACGTTGTTCTTGCACTCTGTAGGCTTTTGATGCTTACTCAAGCTTGACTCATTTTAGGTGAAGCAAACTGGAGATTGAATAATTGGATTTAACGATAAAGTATTGCAATATTCTTTTGGGGGAGGGGCTGGAGAAATGGCTCAGTGGTGAGGAACACTGGCAGTTCATCCAGAGGACTCATGTTCTGTCCCAGCACACAGCACACAGATGTGACTGTGACTCCAGTTCCAGAGGACCCACCCTCTTCTGGCCTCTTCAGACACTGCATGTACATGGTGTGCAGACATGCATGCAGACAGAATACCCATACACATAGTAAACATAAATGAGTCTTTTCTTTAAAAAAAAAAAAAGAATATTCTGAGAACTTTATTACAGGCTGTTACCCTTTAGTCTTAGCCTCCCTACTAGAGAACATTCTCCGGTTTTCTTGAGCTATAGCTTACTGATAACAGAAAACAAGTAGATATATTTCTGCTCTACGATTGGTTAATCCACTGATGAAAGAACGTGGCCAGGAATCCCTTATCCCCTTCCCCTCTGTGATGACCTGAACATCAGGTGTCTAGTTGCTCAAGTTTTATCAACACAGTTCATTTGTAGAAGAAACCCTAGCTAGTTTCTGAATGTTATTTTTGTTGAGTAGGAAGCACTTCCTACATCCTCTCAGAGGGCTCCCCTGTATGTTTTACTGAGTATAATGGAACCATGTACCCGCCCCTAACTATCTGTGACCATAGGGATGGATTGCGTTGTTAAGTTACACTGCCCACAATTTAGCAGTGCGATGGGTCCCTCTGTGTGCTCACGGATAAGGATGGAGATTGAATCTCTGGGGAAAGTGGAGTTTGGTAAGGACTGTCAGGGCACTGAGTGTTGGGCAGGCGAACAGCAAGGTCTACTCTTGCTGGTAGCTGTTCACACATGTCTTTCCTTCTAAGAGCTGTAAAAACCATGTTCTCTCACCTTTTGCTGCCCTAGGTTACGCCTGCATTACTTTCTATTGGCAGCCGTTTGGCCTCCCGCTCAGTCTGTTCCCCTGTTGTCTAACTCCAGCTTCCTTAGTCCTGCCAGAGTGATCTTTCTAAAATTAAAACGTCATTATATCACTCCCCACTTTTAGTCCCTCAGTGGTTATTCACTGACTGTAAAGGAAATTGGAAGTTTTATAAGCTAGGGAGATCCGCTTTTGTTTGCAGACCGTTTCTGCTGCCTCATCTCTTCTGCCTGCCGTCTGCGTTCTTTGTTCTCTTCTCTCTCCCACCCTCATTCTTAGGAGGTATATTGCCATCATACACTGCCTAGAGTATCTCACGCTATTTTAGCTTCTTCGTCTTGTGACTTGACACCATGCATGTCTCCCTCCCCCCCCCCTATCCTTTCAAGTCATGTATCGTTAAAGACTCAGCTTAGTCATGCCTCCCTACTGAGAACTTTTTTCTCTCTCTAATAATTGTGTCTTCCTTTACCACCGCACTTAGCAGCACTGCTGTGGGAACTTGCTTTCTGTTTTCCCGTATTAAACTATGAAAATAGGAATAAAGGACCCAAGGATAGGATAGCTCAGGGCAGAGCATAAAATAGGCCCTGGGTTCCATCATCCCCAGCACCAAAAAAGGGAAAACATTCTCTATTTCTAATTAATGCCTAATGTTACCGGAATGCAAATGTTAACAATGATTTTCTGAATAAGTTCATGTCTACCACAAATGTGATATATACATATGATACATTTATGAGACACATATATAAAACACACACATATGTGAAACACACACACATATAGATATTCATGTGACAGTTTTCTTGGTGAAGCCAAAGAAAGTCTTGAGGAAATATGAACTCGCTGGGACCACACTATACAGTCTGTAATGTGAGTTCTTTGAAGACAGGATATGTTTATTCTGTCTGGCAAATAAAAGGGGCATTGGCATGTCACTTTCTTAACAGGGATTGTCTTATGGGCTGTTTGCTAATATACCAAGTACAACAGACTGGACAGCATAAACAAAACACATTTAGTTCTCCATTCTAGATGCTGAGGAGTCTGGGGTCGTGATAGCAGCAGCTCCCGTGTGTGTGAAGAGCCTGCTTCCTGGTTTGCAGATGACACGCTTCTCAGTGTGTCACCATGTGGCAGATTGCAGAACGAGGCTGCAAGTTCTTTCCTGTTTAAAGTGCATTCCTCCAGACCTTAGTGCACAGCTCAGCGGTAGAGCACCCACTGAGACATGTGCAAGGCCCTGGCTTTGGTACCCAGCACCCAAAAGGGGAGGGATGGATTCCTGAGGGCTTCAGTCTCAAGGCCTGATTACCTCCCAAAGCCCCCACCACTCCATACCATCCTGTTGGATGTTAGACTTTCAACATACGAATTCCGGAGAAACAAAAGCATGCAATCCATAACAGAGATCCTTAGTGACAGTATAGAACCAATATTGCAACAGTAGATGGTGAGTTAGATGGGCAGCTAGCCTTTATTTAAGACTCCTTTATTAGCCTTGGAACCTTGATGTGAATAGAACTGAAAACTACTAGGTTATCTAAGAGAGTGTGTTGAAATAGGAGCGGCGGGGCTGCGTCCCCAACACCCCGGCCGCTTGGCTAGCTTATGCCCGAAATAACAACACACAAACTGTATTCATTTAACTGCTTGATCCATTTCTATCTAGCCTCTTCTAGGCTAACTCTCGCACCTGGACTAGCCCATTTCTAGTAATGTGTGTAAGCACCCCAAGGTGCGCTTACCGGGAAGATTCTAGCCTATGTCCATCCTGGGTTGGAGTTGCCTGAGAGAGCAATCCAAAGAACAGAGCTGTCGAGTCTACCCAGGAGGGCTGAGCATGGCGTCTCTGCTCCAGAGAGCAGAGCTGTCAGGTCTCTCTAGGAGAGGAGGGCTGAGCATGGCGTCTCTGCTCCAGAGAGCAGAGCTGTCAGGTCTCTCTGGGAGCAGAGCAGAGTCTGACCTCACTTCCTCTTCCGCCCAGCATCCTATTCTGTTTTCTCCTCCCCCTATGTTCTAAGCTATGAGGCCAAGCAGTTGGTTTATTATAATTAACCAATAACCTTCCTCCATCAAGAGTGAGTTCAGGAACATTAATGGCCTTGAGTTGACCTTGGCACGTTCTGGCCAGCGGGGAGTTAAGGGATGAACTGGGAAGGAGGACGTTCATTTGACCAGATGGTCAGAGACAGTATAGATGACCTTTTTACAGAAGTGTTGTTTCATGAGAATTTTTTTTCTTTATTTTTGTTTCAGTGGGGGATGAACAGAGAAACAATTCAGTGCTCTGGAGAGATGTGGGATGGACGGGTTTGGTTGGTTCCTTATGACAGGAGAAAATCCAGCATGCCTGTGTGCTGGTGGAACGGTCTAGTGAGACGGGGTGAATCAGAGTGCCAAACCATAGGGAACCTGCAGCATAAAGGGGATAGGCAGGAGCCGCAGGAACACAACCACATCCTCTGCAGCATGTGAGCGGGAAGGCCGTACAGGCCCAGGCCCAGACGCAGGCGCAGGTGGGCGAGTGGCTGCTGCTGGCAGTAAGAGCTTATGGGATTTAAGTTCCCTTGACCCCCTGGGTGAAGTAGACAACAAGGCCCTCAGCAGAGAGACGGAACAGGGACAAAGTATGTGAAACAGCTTGTGCTGATAACCGGTGGTCAAATAGGTCACATGTCTTCACACCTTCACTCAAATGTCCTCTGCATGGTCCTATCCTGGCTTTTCCGCCTACGTTGCTCTCCTAGAAGGCAGTAAGACCAGAGTAACTGTGTGGAAATTAAGCAGCTGTTGCCTGCGTCTTGCCGTGTGCCTGATTTCCTGCATTGGGCTTACATGATTCTTTGTTCTTTTCATAGCAGTTTAAAAACTACTGAACTAGTAGGAACAGGGGCTCACTCTGACTCTGTTGCCTGTTTTGGGGACCCTTTCCTCCTAGCGGGTTGCCCCGTCCAGCCTTAATAGAAGAGGAGATGCCTTGATAGACCGTGTTTGGTTGATATCCATGGGAGGCCTGCCCTTTTCTGAAGAAAATTAGAGGAGGAGTAGATGGGGGGCAGGAAATACAAGGGGAACCCGAGGAAGATAGGAGGGAGGGGAAGCTTTGATTGGGGTGTAAAACAAAAAAATAAAAAATTAATTTAAAAAAATCTACTGAAATAATGTTCCGATGTGCAAGTAAAACCACCCTCTTGCATGTCCCTGAAAGTGGGTCTATGGAGATGGCTCATAGGGAAGATGCTTGCCACACTGGCGAAAAACCCGACTTTAGATCCCCTAGGATGTCTGTGCTACAGTGAGGTGGGAAGAGAAGACTGGAGAATCCCTGCAGGCCAGGTAGACTAGCGTTACAGCACAGTGGCAAACAACAAAGACACCCTGCCTCAAACGTGGCAGAAGGTAAAGACCAAAGCCTGAGGGTATTGTCTGACCGCTGCACACTCTCTGTTGGATGTGCATACCTATGTGTGCACATACGTACCGTATACGTTATACACAAAAAAACTTGTAACAACCTCAGCAGCGTTTGAAACATATTATGCAGTTTAATGCGTGTTCGTAGAGATGTGCTTAATTTGCTTCTTGTTCATGAAAATTGTATACGTAGGAGTAGGCTGCTAAAATAACTGATCACACTGGAATGGTGACTCTGGGCTGAGCAACATCAGAGGAGAGACTAGAGCAAGCTCCGATAACGGCAGGAAATGGTACTCCTGGGTAGTAATGAACTGGGTAGCAGCAGAGAGGGTAGGTGCAGGACAGAAGCTGCAAGGGAAGCAGCAATTTCCAGAAAGAGAGTCGGGATAAAGTGAAGGATGCCTACCAGGAAGAGGGGAGGAAAAGGTCACCCCACTAAAGAAGTGAGGAGGCTTACTGAAGTTCTCTTATGAGTGCGTGGAGAATTTAACCTGTAATGATCTGCAGGTAGGCCCGGGTCCAGAGTCGAGGGGTCTGAGTGTCTGCACGCACGGCTGCGCGTGAACGCAGCTGCTCATTACCCCCGCAGTGCGGCCTGAGTGTGGGTGTTACTGGGAGGGATGCTGCTTTCTGACGTGCCTTACCTGTGCTCTCACAGCCGTGCAAACGTGTGTAATTCTCATGTGTAAATCTGTGATAAAAGATGAATAGAACAGGCAGTCGATTTTTATTAAAGAGCAGCTAAATTAAGGAGCCTGGTAAAGCAAGGGATAAACCGGGTAGTGTGGGAAGAAAGAACTGAAAGGTTTGAGAAAACTCACGGGTTGGGTGGCTATTTTAAGGGGATATGGTAGAGCCTTCTAGATAGTCTATTAATATGATTCTCTTTCTTTTCATAGCTGGGCTTTGCAGATCTAAACCTGGCAGAGTTTGCCGGATCAGGAAATACCACCCGCCGCTGTTTACTGGAAGGCTATGATACCAAAAATACAAGACAGGACAATTCCATTCTCAAAGTAAGCACTCTTCAAGATTTACATGGCGATAAAAGATGTTCTGCCTGTAGCTAAGCAACAGGTGTCTGTTGTCATGGTTACTGTGGGATTCCATACCGAGGTCGTGAGCCTCCACCTTGTTAGGGTCCAGTGTGTTTCGTGTTTCTCACTGGGGCTGTGGGCGAATACACCACCACCACAACCAAATGCTTGTTGGGAAGAGGGAACATGATGCCTGGATACATGGCTTAAAATACAGATAGCTATCCAGGCTAGAAAGCTGGCCTAGAGGTTAAGAGCACCTGCTGGATAACCACGAGAGCTGAGTTCAGATCCCACCCTGTTGAAATAGGAGCAGCGGGGCTGCGTCCCCAACACCCCGGCCGCTTGGCTAGCTCATGCCCGAAATAACAACACACAAACTGTATTCATTTAAGAACTGCTTGGCCCATGAACTCTAGCCCTTACAGGCTAATTCTCGCACCTGGACTAGCCCATTTCTAATGATGTGTGTAAGCACCCCAAGGTGCGCTTACCGGGAAGATTCTAGCCTATGTCCATCCTGGGTTGGAGTTGCCTGGGAGAGCAATCCAAAGAACAGAGCTGTCGAGTCTACCCAGGAGAGCTGAGCATGGCGTCTCTGCTCCAGAGAGCAGAGCTGTCAGGTCTCTCTGGGAGCAGAGCAGAGTCTGACCTCACTTCCTCTTCCGCCCAGCATCCTATTCTGTTTTCTCCTCCCCCCCTTTGTTCTAAGCTATGAGGCCAAGCAGTTGGTTTATTATAATTAACCAATGACCTTCCTCCATCACCACCCCAGCTGGAAAATGCAAGCTCCAGGCTCAGGGAGAGACCCTGCCACAAAGAAATAAGGCTGAAACTGAAAGGAGGACTTCGGATGCCCTCGCCTGGGTTTTGTGTCTGCACATGAGTGTGCACTGACATACACATTTGTCCATATGTGCATTGCACGCACACACACACACACATACACACACCCCTCAAGATAACTTCCTAAGAAGCTGTGATGTGTTTGTAGAGGTGCTCTCGTAAGCAGTGAAGTGGCAGGCAGACCCATTCATGGACACCTGTCTTATTTCTCCAAATCTCATCAGGAGCCTGTGTGTTCAGGGAATCACAAGGAATATATACTTCATGAAGCTGATGAAAACATTAAATGAGATCCATTGGAAAAAAAATAGTCAGAAAATATCTTGTACCTAGGAGAATCTTTGCTACATTTTATTTAATTTGTAAGTTACCTAATAAGAAAAAAAAATCGATATTTAAAAACCAAGTGGTTTTTATTCCAAAGTTAGTAATGTGAAGAATAACTTTATACCTACAGTATAAACTTTGTTTTCAGCCATGGATATACAGAAATTCATGAACTGGTTCTCACAGGCAGACACCCCTTGCACACATCAGCAGCGTTAAGAAAGGTAGGATGGGCAGCTGGCGTGAGAGGGAAATGATAAAGGACGTGAGGAAATGTCAGGTATGGTGGTGCACACCTGTCATTTCAGCACCTTGGAGACAGAGGCAGGGATGATCAGGGGCTCAAGGCCAGCCTTAGGTTCATAAGGCCCTGTCTCAAAAACCAAGGTACGAACCAGGCAGTGATGGCACTTACCTTTAATTCCAGCACTCAGGAGGCAGAGGCAGGCAGGTCTCTGTGAGTTTGAAGCCAGCCTGGTCTACTGAATGAGTTCCAGGACAGCCAGGGCTACCCACAGAAACCCTGTCTTAAAAAGCCAAAGCAAACAAACTAAGGTAGGAAAAGGAAATATTAAAAGAGCACCATCCTATGAATTTCAAGTCTGCTTGATTTTGTTGTTATATACCTCTGAAAATATCGCAGGGCACTTGCGCACTGGCAGGTGTAGATTGATGGTGTCTTAGTCAGGGTTTCTATTGCTGTGAAGAGACACTGTGACCACAGCAACTCTTATAAAGGAACACATTTCATTGAGGCTGGCTTACAGTTTCAAAGGTTTAATCCATTGTCATCTTGGTGGGACATGGCAGCATGCAGGCAGACATGGTGTAGAGAAGTTGCTGAGAGTTCTACATCTTGATCCGCAGGCATCAAAAGGAGACTGTCACACTGGCCAGACTTGCGCTTATAAGGCCTCAAAGCCTGCTTTCGCAGTGACATACTCCCTCGTCCAAAAAGGCCACACCTAATAGTGCCACTCCCTATGGGCCAAGCATTCAAACACATGAGTCTGTAGGGGCCATTCCTATTCAAACCACCAGAGATGAGGAACAGTTTTCATCCCTGATTTATAATGGAGAAGGTGAGCCTCAGAAGGTCAGGTGCCTTCCATAAGAGAAGTGGTGAGTGACGGAGCTGAGGCCAACATGCGTGTCTGCTGTCTGGTGGCCTTTCCACATCATCATGCCCGCGCATCCCCCTTTTCAAAACCCACCGACTGTACTGTTCATTATGTATTATTACTTTAATAAGCAAATAACCTATCTCTGAATAACACTGCTTTGCATGCATGTGTGCATACATGTGTGTGAGAGTGTGTGCGCGCACGTATGTGTGTCCTCTTCTTTGTGAGAAGCCATCTCCCCTTGAGACAGCTTTTTAATTTTAGTTAGTTGTCCCTCTCCCACCATCTCCTGTGTTCCCAGCCCTCCTGGTCATCACATGCAGCTGTCTTCACCCCGAACCCTTCCTTTCTCATGAGCTGCCAGGCCTCACTTGCTTCCACTTCCCCCTTACTAGCTTAGAGTGCACAGGTCATGATTATCTTGTTTGAATTACTACTCCAGGTTCCTTTGCCTGTGGCTGTCCCTGAAGATCTCCAGTGCTACTTGGTTTGACTGTGTGCCCTCCCTGAGTCTGTGTCCATGAATGGAGCATTACTGGAGGACACACAGACGAGTGGGCACTGCTGGAATCAGGCTCACCTCCAGCTGGCAGCCACCCTCTGCCCCCATCCCCGTTTCGATATTCGCCTTCCTGCCTTTTTTCTCAGTGTAGTTTCACACCCCATGCGTCACCCCAGCTAAGCTTCTCCTTCATGAAAAGGCAGAGGTCATGAGACTCACGTCCCTCATCATCCCAGCATAGAGCTGACCCCTCTGCTTGTCTCTCCAGTCTTCCTGCAGCACATGTTTCTGTCTTGCCTATGGTCACAGGGACGACATGACCCTCTTCCCGTGAGAAGTCAGTCCTTCCTCTTGACCTCTAGAATCCACACAGGCATAACCGAGAGTTTTCTCCTTGGACCATCTGCTCCTAGTCATGTCTCCCTTTAGTGAGCCGTCCTTGTCAGCACACAAAGGAACAGCTGTAATATACACGTTTCCTAAGAAGGGAGCTCCTGCCACCTCTCATCCCCGTCCTGCGTCTCTGCTCTGCCTCACTACACAATTTCTCCATCCCAAGACCATCAGATAGTCACAAGTGCTGTCCTGTAGAGTTGGGGACCAGATGGGAGGAAAGAAGAGGCAATAAGAGAATCTGCATAACAGGATAGCTGAGACGTAAGAAAAACAATGACATAAGGTCATAGAAGATGCTTGTCAAACATTCACTGGAAAGTGTGCAGTAATCTGTGTGTGTCCTGTTTGTCGTTAAGACTGTAAACTCAGTGAGTGTGGTCCTGGGTTCTGCCCTGTGCCAGCTATGTAATTCAGGAAATATCCCCGATCTCTGTGGTCTCAAAATGAGAGTGTTACTCTCTCACGGGAGTGCTGAAGATGAAATGAGATGATGTGTAGAAAACACATAGTTTATATCTGGAACGGAAGTTCCCAAATCGCCAGGGTGGTGCTGCACGCGTGGAATCCCGGCACTCCGGGGGGTTGAGACAGGAAGATCCGTAAATTCAAGGTTATCCTTGGCAACGTGGCAAGTTTGAGGTTAGCCTTGGAATGCTGAGACTCTCTCAAAGAGCCAAAACAAAATATTTGCAAGTCACTATCGTTGTGAATTTTCTCACAGGGATGTGAATTGGGGTCTGGGAATATTGCCTGGTCGTAGGAAGCCTACCTGGCATACACAAAACCCTGGGTTCAGTCCTCAGTTCAAGACCACCCCATGACGCTAGTGAATTCGAGGCCAGACTCTCAGAGGAAAAAAAAAGTGAGATTGTCCTGTGGTGGATTCTTAGAAGTTACTTAGCAACCAGGGACTATCAGCATCTCAGAAAGAAACAGCCAGGCTTTAGTGCTGATTCGAAGCTGGGGCAAAAGCTCTCTGCCCTTTGGAGTCCCAAGCACGTATCCCATAAAGCCTCAACCTGTGGAGCTGAAGGGCCTGGTTATTAAATACTTGCACCCCACAGGGATCTGCAGTAAATACAGACAAAGCAGACAGACACAGACTCTTACTAAAGCTAGAAGGATTAGTACTGGGGAAGTGCTTACTTCTTATTCTTATCTTTTCCACAGGGTTTTGAACATTAAAGATGATTTTTAATCCATGTCTACATAAAACAGTAATGGAATATTGGACACACCCTCATTAAACATTTATTTCTCTTAATGCTTTCTAGATAGAAAATATAAGACTAGGTTTTAGTCAGGTGGTGGTGGTGGTGGTGTGTGCCTTAATCCCAGCACTTGGGAGGCAGAGGCAGATGGATCGCTGTGCGTTCGAGGCCAGCCTGGTCTAAAAGAGCTAGTTCTAGGGCAGGCTCCAAAGATATAGAGAAACCTGAAACCCTGGGGGGGGGAGAAAAGACTAGGAGGTGTCATAGGGAATACAGATTAGCAAAAGCTGGCTTCTCAAGAACTCTTATAATTGTGGCATTTGTTGCTCTTTTGTTTAGGTTTTGATCAGTATGCAGCTGATGTCTGGTGACCCATGTTTTAAAACGTAAGTTGAAAACCAGGAAATGGATTGTTTATCTGCAGCTGTGATGCAAATGAAGCAGGTTTGTAGGAAGACAGCTCCTTTCATGCTTCACTGGCCTGGCTGGCACAGAAGCGACTATTTCCCGTTACCAGGGAAGCTCACCACTCCCAGAATGATGCAAGTTATGGATCTTTGCCACCTCTGGGTTTTCGGGTTGAAGGTGAAATTATACAAGCTGAGGTTTGAATTCGCTTGCTGTTTTCTTCAGCGGATACTCAGTAGGTGCCTCGCAGTGTGTGGGAGCGCATCCTAACCTCAGACAGAGCAGTGAGCAAAAGACACTGCAGCATCCTAACCTCAGACAGAGCAGTGAGTAAAAGACACTGCGCATCCTAACCTCTAGTGAGCAAAAGACACTGCCTTCCACCACCTTATTGCTCAGACTCTAAGAAACAGCCAAGTTGTGATAAACAGCAAAGGAGCCTGGGAGCAGACTCTGATGAGGAGTCGCGGGGGGGGGGGGGGGGGGGGGGGGGGGGGGGGGGGGGGGGGGGGCAAGGCGACATAAGAGCTGTTGTGTATGAGTATCGAGGGAAGGCTCCCTGCTTTAGATGACATTCGAGTAGAGACCTGAAGGAGGTAGGAAGCAAGCCACGTGGATAATTTGGGGGAAGAGTACTCAAGATGGAGGGAAGAAAGCCTTGAGGGGGCACGGTTCCCAGCATGCTCAAGTAACTGCCTGGAGACCCAGGTCTGGAGCAGAGGGAGCGGAGAGCTTGGTGATAGGAGGTGAGGTCAGCTGGTCACCTTGTGGGCCATTAGAATAAGAGCTCCACTTTCCCTCTGAATAAGATCAAAGGCTCCAGAGGCTTCAGGTGAACAGTAAAGGCTCTTATTATGATACAAGGTAGAAAAGAGCCAATCTGAGAGAGTGTGGTGGGAACGAGGCCAGAAGAGGTGGAGTGGGTGGCCGGTCCATTAGTGAATGTTTCTCTCCTGAGAGGCCACAAGAGGAACAGTTCACAGCTCAGATATAAGACACAACAAAACCCACATCTGAAAAGGGAACTTATGAAACATTCGGTGTGGTCCAAACTCTTACCTTAGGAATGAGGAGACTGAGACAGAGCAACGTCTGTGTGGAGCCGAAGGTCAATAGCTCCGGAGAGGGGTGTGCCCTGCTCTGCTGGCTGCCGCATTGGCACATTGGCATGGGAGCCGCGCAAATGGCACACGAAGTCACAGGGGCAGAGAGTGGAGGGCTGGAAGTCAGAAAGTCCTCACTGAGGGGGTGGCCCTGGCTGAGTACTGGTGACTAAGAATGCACTAAGCATGGAAGGTGAGCAGAGACGTTCCAGGAAGAGGAAACCATTTGCACACACATAGGGCACTGTTAACGGTGCACGGGATATTTGTGGAACATCCAGCAGGTAGGACGTCTTTTTAGGTGGTCATTTTAAACGGACTCTGAACATTACTTTAAAATTAAAACAGCACCCATTTCTTTAATGTGCAATTACGCTATATCAAGAGATCCTGACAAAGAATATATTACAATTTCTGAACAAAGGGAGTACTAGAGGAGAACCAGCACCCAGTGGACACTCGGTGGTTAGCCCCTGAACTACGACGTTGCCCTGGACAGCAGAACTGAAGTAGCCTAGTTAAGGTTTCAAATTCTGAGTCTGCTGTACTAACGGCCCCATGGTCAGCTTCTTCTGTCGGGATGCTAGAGCCCTCGAGACAGCAGGGCAGGAGTCATGGGAGCGTTATGGCTGTAATCGCCTGTGGAAGGAAAGACCACTGACGTTTAAGACTTGAGGCCTGCAGAAAGCTCAAAGCAGTCACTGGTGATTTATGACTGCTGTTGGAGACTCCATTCTTTGCATGAATCTCTTATATGTTTTTCCTGTGAAATACTCAGTGGACTTTTATTTTGGTTTTTAACCAAGTTCTTTATGTTTTTTAAACGCATAACTCAGCTGGGCCTGGTGGTCCAAGCCTGGAACCCTAGCATGCAGAAAACCGAGGCAGGAGGATCTTCATGAGTTCAAGGCCAGTCTGGACTACTTACGGGTTACCAGCCAGCCAGGGCTACAGAGCAAGATCATGTCTCAAAAAATATACTCCAAAATATACAACAAAATCAAAATACAACTATTGGTAACCAAGCAGGTTGGTCTAAGTTGGACTGTGAAGAGCCTTGGTTGTCAAGCCTGGAGCTTCAGCTTTGTCCCAGAGGCACTATTTGAAGGGTTGCCTTGGCTTTAAGACAGGGGCTCACATAGCCCGGGCTGGTTTCCAGCTTGCTACATGCCTGAGGATGACCATGACCGTGAACTTCTGGTCCTCCTGCCTTGACCTCCTGAGTGCTGAAACTACAGGACCATGACACCATATGGGATTCATAGATAAAAATAAGATCTTTATGTAAAAATCTCCCCCACATTTATTATTTGGGTTTTAGGGTTCTAAAGGACGCTTGTGGATCATTTAATGGTTTTTATTTCATCCTCAAAAGGCTAACTCTCATAAACATCTCGTTAAGGCCAGGTACTGACCGCACAGTGAGTCTAACCGTAGTTCAGACCTTCAAGCTCATACGTGATTCAAGATCTGATCCCTACACTGTCTATTTACAGACCTCCCTCCACGTCCATGTCGATCCCAATCGCTGGAGAATCGGAGTCTTTGGAAGAGGACAGGAAAGGTGGAGAGACTCTCAAGGTGCATCTCGGAATAGCAGGTATGGGTATATAGCTTCCTGAGTCTTTGATTTCTGAAAAACAATACTATTTAATTTTCTAATCGATTCCTAAACCCTGAGGGGCTGGCAGAATGACTGAGCAGGTCAGGGTGCTTGCCACCTAGCCTGATGACCTGGTCTTAATCCTTGGAATCCACACAGTTTAAGGAGAGAACAGGGCCTGGAGAGATGGCTCAGCAGTTAAGAGCACTGGCTTAACTCTTAAGAGTTCTTCCAGAGGTCCTGAGTTCCAATTCTCAGTGACCATATGGCGGCTCATAACCATCTCTAGTGGGATCTGGTGCCATCTTCTGGTATAAAGGTATACATATGTAGGACACTTATATACATAAAATAAATAAAAATTTTTAAAAAAGAGAGAGAGAACCAGTTGTCCTCTAACCGCCACACGCATTCTGTGGCACATACATGTCCACACACACACACATACACAAAAATAAAGAAATGTAAAAAAATTCCTCCAACCCACCCACAGGTAACTGTGTATACATGCACTCATGACTTGAAATGTACCAGCTAGTGTGCTGGCTGAGCCAGGACTTCCTTCCTTCCTTGTCTAAGGTAATGTGCTCTGACACCGGCAACTGAATGTTGCATTAACACTGTCTCTCACTGGCTGCATCTGCTCCTCCCAAACACAAGAACCACCAGTTTTCCCCGTTCCTCCCTCATGCTGGGCACATCCGCCTGTCAGCTCTTTGGTGCTGCTCTTCTCTCCTCAAGCCTCACTGTGCATTGGATTTTCCTGGGGGTGGACGGCGTTAAAACATACTGCTAGCACCAGCAGCCAGTTTGGGATTTGGTCAATCCAGGATGGTGCCTGGAACTTTCTAATGCACACCAGTTCAGCTTCTTTGCTGCTGCTGCTGCTGCTGCTGCTGCTGCTGCTGCTGCTGCTGCTGCTGCTGCTGCTGCTGCTGCTGCTGGTTCCAAGCACACTTTGAGCCCACTTCCCTAGACATCTTCCAGCAGAGGCAGAATCTACTGTGGTTGCTAAAAGCAGGGTAGGCAAGGTGCCAACCTAGCCGCAGGAAAAGGACACGAGGAACAGGGTGTATTGTTGGAAAGAAAGGTGAAGTGCTAGAATTAACATTTACACAACCTTTTCAAATGTGCATTGATGGGGTTTCTTATAAATAATTTTGGGTATGGATTTCTTGATTTAGGATCAGCTAGTCTTATGGATACTGTTAATCTTCCCATTAACTCCTCACTCAGCCCTTAAATATCCCGAGCTGTTGGCTATACTGAGAAAATATAACGTGGACCTTATTATCCTTATAATAGTAATATATCCATCTTCTCTATCTCCTGTTGTCCTCTAGACTCCAGCAGTCCAGGGTTAGATAGACAGACAAACATGGAGACATATCATCAAGAGAGTGCGTTTTTGACGCATGCATCCCAGTGATGTAGACGAACTTCGAGAAACCAATACTGCTTGGATTCGTTACTGTGATAAAAGAACGTGAAGGGTGTTTGGACTCACGGTTCCAGGGGGTGCAGTCTGTCACTGTGGGGAAGTCATGGTGGGAAGGGAGATTGTCTGGTCACATTGCACCCCCAGTCAGGAAACAGAAAGATAAATGCTGGTTTCCTCTTTTCCCTTTGCTGTTCGGTCCAGGACCTTAGCTCAGGCTCTGCTTACAGTCAGAGTGGGTTTTCACTCCACTTAAGCCTTTCTGGAAACCCCCTCTCAGACATGCCCTTAGGTGACTCCTGGTCCAGTCAGACCAGTGAGAGCTAGCCACCCTGCTGCCCGTCCGCTGGTAAACTCATTTACAGTATGGTTTGTGTCCTGTCTTGTTGTCTACAGATCACCAGATCCTGTCGCCCTTTTTCCCATTCTCCTTTGACTCAGCCACTAATTCAGTTCTTTTTTGGTGTCTTCTCTTCCCTTGTCTCCTACCTTCGGCACCTTTGCTCTTCTGGCTAGCTTAGGGATTTCTTGAGCAAGGAAGATGGTTCAGTGAGTAAAGATGCCTGTTGCCAGTCCTGATGATCCAAGTTCACCTCCTAGGAACCCCTGCTGGGGGCAGATGTTTGCCTTTAGCTAGTTAGCTAGTTGTCACCTGGCCTGGCCTCCATGTGTGTGGTGCACATACACACACACAATTAAATAAGTAAATAAATAAATGTAATGAATTTTTTAAAGCCTAGGACCCATTAGTAGTTGCTGCCTATTGGCAGAGGAAGAGGAAGTTTCTTCAGGGGTGTGGCCGCTCAGAGGCTGCCCATGCTCCCGTAGCTGGTCCTACACTTATGCACATAGAGGGAGCATCAGTGGATTCAGTGGATTTAGAACAGAGTACGTTAAGTTGGTGGGGAAAGTGATAGAGAAGTACAAGAGGAATTGGGGAGGAATGAATAGATGGTGACTTTGATCAAAACATTATATGCATGCATGAAATTCTCAATAATAAAAATTAAAGGGAAACTTCCTTCAAGTGGCCGCGCAGTAGCTGCAATGTAGAGCATTTGTCCGTGTGCTTGAGGCCAGGGTTCAGTCCCCAGTCCTCAGAAAACATAAACTGGGCATAAAAACACCCCCACCTCCTCTCCAGCGTTGCTGCTCCACAGGGGGTGGTCCCCTCTACTTCATTTTCTGGGCAATGTCCTCTACACCCCTGGATTTAACTATTTCATAAATACGATGTGATTGTATAAAGTACGTTAAATACTTTCCTCTCATGAATATGTGTTTCCAAGTGTTTTGGGGAAGGTCCACTTCGGGCCGTGTATTATTACTGAAGTCTCTGAGCTCATCTTTCTCCCCAGCCAGACTGTGAGTCCTTTGTGATCCGATCTTTATACATAGACCAGGGACGGTCAGAATGTGATGAGCATTGCCTGCCAGTGTCACAGGCTCAGTGCAGATTTGCCTGACTCTTCCTCCTCCTGCTCAGGCATCCTGGCACACACTCTGCTCGGTAGCTGGATCCCGCCATCTCTCACTCCCAGCTGGCTTACCCTAAAAACCTTCACTCTTCACCCCAATTTGCTTTACTGGAGTGATCTTCACACAGCATAGCCCGCAGTGGCATGCAGGCTTACAGTCATTCAAGTATGTCTTTCATTCAGCTCACCGAAAGGTCTTCATCAGCTGCCCTGTGCTCGCCTTTGGCCTCTTTTCCTGACAGTCATCTCCCCGCTGCTCCGTGTGCCGGCTTCACCAAAGCATTTGCTGCTCTACAGGCCTGTTGTGCCCTGTGCCCTTCCCTCCTCAGCGAGCTGAAAGATCCTGGGCTAGCCTCCTCTCCGAGGTCTCCTCCCACGTAGTATTACATGCGCGGGCCTTTGGAGCCCTTCATACCTTCTTTTGGTTAATGCCAGACACATTTGCTTCTACCTCTGAATTCTGAACGTGTGCCCAGTGCCTCAGTTTAATCTATACCACAGACAACTGATTTGATAAGAGCTTAATAAATTTTTATACGGATTGAATGCCTTTTGGAAACGAGAAGACAGATGGCTGAGATCCAAGCCAAACACTGGGTGGACTTTGGGGTGTACAGGAATCTCTATGAACTGTCTGCTGGGGAGGATTTTGTTGGAGCTAGCCTTCGGATTTAGGGCTGCTGTAGATGCATGGGGCCCTTGCAGTCTGCCTGGACATGAGAAATCTTTGCAGAGGACCAGTGGCCTGCATGTTTGGCAGCATCTGCTGGCCGGACTGTGCGCCATCTGTCTCATTTAGAGAACCGCTGTGGTAGCTAGCTCACTCAGCTGCTTCCCTTCTCCTAAGTTAACGACAGTTCCGGTTTCCAAGCATTTTACTCTGATGCTAAGCAAACAGTTCCGTCTTCTGTGGAGCTTGACCAGGTCTACAAATACATGATTGAGGGCTACTAGAAACAGTGCTGAGACTGCTTTTGTCTATTAACTTTCAAACTATGTGCTATCATCAGTTTTTTTTTATTTATTATGTATACAATATTCTGTCTGTGTGCATGTCTGCAGCATCAGGTTTTGTTATTTCTGAATTTTTGTTTATTCTATTTTTAGTGTGTGGGTGCTTTGCCTGTATGTATATCCACACACCATATGCATGCAGTGCTTATAGAAGCCAGAAAAGGGTATTGGTTCCCCCCTGGAATTGGAGTTACAAGTGGTAGTGAGCTGCCATGTGGACGCTGGGAACTGAACCCGAGTTCTCTGGAAGAGCAGCCAGTGCTCTAAACAGCGGCGCCATCCCCAGCCTTGAGACTAGTTTGTTTCTTAAGAACTGTCATCCTGGTAGTACACCCTATGTTGTGTTGCTAAGTTACAGCACTGCCCCCCTGTATAGCCTAGCGCTAGAAAGACTGACACTGGAGCACTAAAGTACCTTTAGTTCACTACTGATGAATTCTGAAGATGTAAATCTCAATACCACCTAAAAACAAAACAAAAAACACTAAAGTAGCAGGACATGGTGTTGCACACCTGTAATCAAAGGAGGAGGGTCAGGAGTTGAAGGTCAGCCTCAGCTACTGTGTGGGTCTAAGGATAGCTGGGGTTATATGAGACCCGGTCAGATAGATAGATAGATAGATAGATAGATAGATAGATAGATAGATAGATAGATAGATAGATAGATAGATAGATAGATAGATAGATAGATAGATGATAGATAGAGTTATATGAGACTGTCAGATATGTCAGATACATACATACATACATGAGAATAAAAACACCAAAATTCATCAGTTTCATGAGAATTTGTAAGAATAAGACTGGGTTTTTAGAGAAATGTTGAACGCACACACACCACTAACAGTTTTAAGACCCACTGCTATAAACATTATGAAAGCACCTAACTTTGCAGTGAACTGAGTGTTCAAGCTTTCTTTCATTTCTTGTGATGTGCTTGTTTTCCTTGTGCCAACTTGAAGGAAGCTGTCACTTTATAATTCATTTTCCTTGGTTATAAACTTGCAGAGAAATAAAATCTGCAGGCTAGACTACAAATTGGGCATTGACTTGGTAGTAATAACATCACGTGACTTGTTGCAGATCTTTCAGCAAAGAGTGCCTCTGTTCCAGATGAACTTGGTGCCTGGGGACATTCTAGAACATCAAGCTATGCAAGCCAGCAGTCCAAAGTATCAGGTAGTGGCCCACAGTGGGACCCCACTCCTTATTGTTCTGAGACAGTGCTTCTCAACCCTCCTAATGCTGGAACCCTTTAATGTAGTTCCTCATGTTGGCTGAAACCAACCATAACATTTTTGTTGCTACATAAGTGTAATTTGGCTACTGTTAAGAACCATAATTTAAATATTTTTGGAGATAGATGTTTGCCAGAGGGGTTGCAACCCACAGGTTGAGAACCACTGTTCTAAAGGGACTTGAAGCCAGGTGTGGTAGAACACACCTGTTAACCTAACGATGGAGAGACTGGGAGAGAGAAGGATGGCAAGTTCAAGGCCAGCCTCTGCTTGCTGGATAGCAGGTGCCTGTCTTCAAACAAAATAAAATTCAGTAATAAACTTGAAACCACTGTGGTGTAGGATAAAGAAATTGCGTCTCAGAGATGACAGATGGTTCAGTAAAGTGCTTGTCACGCAAGCATGAGAACCTGAGTTCAGTCACCAGCATTCACAGGGAAGTCAGACACGACAGTTCATGCCTGTAATCCAAGCACTGGGAAGACAGAGACAGAAGGATTTCTGTAACCGCTGTAGTCAAGCCAGCAAGTTCTAAGCTCCGTGAGAGACCCTGTCTCAAAAATAAGGTGGCCAGTGACAGAGAATACCCCATCAACCACTGGCCTTCATACACACACTCACACGCGTGCATCTGCACACACACGTGCATCTGCACACGCACATGCATCTGCACACACATCTATGTGCACCCATATCAACGTGCAGAAAGAAAAAGTTAGACTGAGTGCGTCTGATAGTGTTACTGTATTCACAGTGGCTTGTCCTCCGGCAGGGTATAGCACGGGTCACTCCCGGTCATCCAGTTTCTCCGAGTTCTGCCACAGAAGAAATACCTCAGTGGGCAGCACATCGACAGGAGTTGAGAGCATCCTGGAGCCTTGTGATGAAAATGAGCAAACCACAGCCGAGCCGGCTCTTGACCCAGCCGATAAAGAAGAAGGCGCTTCTGAGAAAGCCTCCAGGTACCCTCTCACGTGGTGACTCTCTGTTTAAAACATCTTTATTTTCATAGCGTAACCAGTACAGAAGGGGGAAACAACTGTGCTTCTTTTCAAAGATGCCCAGTGAAGCAGGATTCTGTTGAATCTCAGCTGAAGCGGGTTGACGACACCAGAGTGGATGCTGATGACATCGTGGAGAAAATCCTGCAAAGTCAGGACTTCAGTCTCGACTCCAGCGCCGAAGGTGTGTGGAGAACGGATGAGTACGAGTGCCGTGGCCCACACCTGTGTCAGCGCACGCGCTCGGGGTGGAGAACACATGTGGTCCACAGCTGTGTCAGCGCACGTGCTCGGGCTGCTACTGCATGTCTGTAAAGTCAACCCCGTGTCCGCCAAAGCAAAGAGAGTTTTGTAGCTTGTCTCTGACAAAGGCCGGTGACGCTGGACGAAGGACAAACTTTAGTGAAGACATCAGCTGAAGTGGATGTGGTTCGGTAGTACAGCAGATTCCTAGGATGTAGGAGGCCCCGGGTTCAGTTCCCACACCTGGGGAGGGGAGCAGAGATCAATTTTAAAGAAACCTTTTGTGTCTGTATACTTTCTGAGTGCCAGGTCCCTGACCCTGTTTGGAGGGCTGCGGTGGTGGTCTTGAAACAGGGGAGAATAGAATCCTGCAATCTCTCCACAAATTTCCTACAGAAACAGAGAATTTATTTGCCACCAGCTTGAAAGGTGCAATTACTCAGGCAGGTGGAATAGAGAGCGCTTAACAGTGGACAACTGTTTGGTTGTGGAACTGGCTGGAAATAGAAACAATTAAACCGCATGAAAATGAAGAGAAAGAGCTGTCATTCCTGTTCAAAGAAAAGAGCTTTGGGGAAGTTGGTGAGGAGCCGTAGGCCGCCTTCCAGTTGTCTCTCTTGGAGCTTTGATACCTTCAGTCAGTGTAAAATGTGGATTTCTACAATACGTGTGTTTTCTGACAGTCATCCAAGAACTGTATGCTTAACAAGCATTGTAATATATGTGTTGCAGAAGAAGGACTCCGGTTATTTGTGGGGCCTGGAGGAAGCACAACCTTTGGCAGCCATCACCTTCCAAACAGGTATGTCACACACACACACACACACACACACACACACACACACACACACACGGGACATAATACTCTGCCAAAACACAGTGTTTTAATCCATGAGGAGAGGACACGTAGCTCAGTTTGGAAGAGCCTAGCAAGAGCGGAGCCTCGATTCAGCTTCTGGAGCAATATAAGCAAGCATGGTGGCTCTTCCCAGTATGGGGAAATGAAAGCAGAAAGTTCAGGAGTTGAGGGTCATCCCCGGCTCCACAGCGAGTCTGATGCCAGCCTGGGCTCCGCGGAAGAACAATCGCAAGTAAAGGAGGGAGGCTGCAGTTTTCCTTATGCTGAGGCTGAAGTAAGACAAATGCTTGCACCCCCTGAGGAGAGCCGGTTACTACTGAGACACTCTTTCCCTCCCTGGATGTCTTCACCATTATAGTCTATGATAGGTGCTTCCTTTATTTAAATATATTGGACAGATAGAGCACTTGGCAGTTGCTAACATAAAAAGAATATCTAGAACAGAATTTTGTCTACTATTTTAGATGGGACAAAGCAAGCATTTCCAGTCAGTGCACTCACCTGTGTGAGCAAATGTACACAACCCACTCAGCGGCAAACCTGTCATTAGCAACCCTTCTTGACCTCAGCAGCATTTCACTTTTTTCAAACCAGAAGTCTGCTTCTGTTCCCGTTTTTAATTTTCTCTATGTAACTTATTTATCTGGCTGTTTTAAAGATTTTTTTTCATGTGTGTGTCTGTGTATATATGCCATGTGGGGAAGTAGGGGGTCATCCTTAGAGGCCAGAAGAGAGCATTGGATATCCCAAAGCAGAGCTACAGACAGTTGTGAGACACACAATGTAGATGCTGGAAACCAAACCCAGGTCCTCTGGAGGAGCAGGAATGGCTCTTAACTCCAGAGCCATCTTTCCAGCCCCTGTCTGGATGGTTTTTTTTTTTTTTTTTTTTTTTTTTTTTTTTNTTCCTAATCACAACATCACTAGTTTATTTTTTTTCCCCCGAGACAGGGTTTCTCTGTGGTTTTGGAGCCTGTCCTGGAACTAGCTCTGTAGACCAGGCTGGTCTCGAACTCAGAGATCCGCCTGCCTCTGCCTCCCGAGTGCTAGGATTAAAGGCGTGCGCCACCACCGCCCGGCTGGATGTTTTTTAAGAGGTTTTTGTTTGTTTCTGTTTTGTTTTGTTTTTGAGGCAGGGTCTCAATGTATAGCCATGACTGGCCTGGAACTCACTATGTAGACCAGAACAGCCTCAGACTCACAAAGATCCACCTGCCACAGCCTACTGAGTGCTAGGAATGAAGCACATGCCACCACACCCAGAAACATTTTCTCTTTGTCACGGGTTTCTTAGAAGCCGGCGTGAGATGTTGTTGGGTGTGTTGCTCTGTGTTTCTTTCATTTCAGCTTCGCTGAACTCCTTAGATAGCTGTGCGTATAGGTTTCCCGGATTTGAAATTCTCCGGCCATTACTTCCCACACACACATGCTTCCTTCTCGTATTCTGACATTCAAATGCCAGTTCCTCTCTTCTGTAAGCTAAGATACAGCCCCAACAACAGACCAAACTGACAGTTCTACCCATTTGGTGAACCAGTGAGCTTCCCAGACTTACAAAAGCCAGGGTGACTCATAACGGCTGCATTGCCAAGACATTGTACTCCATCATGGCTGACAGCCCCCCAAGAAGCCCAACTTCAGTTAGCCACCCTACACCCCCTATACACCCTAGCGTCTTCCATGAGCACACAGAGGAGGGAATGGTCGATGGAATCCCAGGTGACAGTCTTGTGACCCTCCCTTCCTTCTACAAGCTAAATATTAAAAGGCCAACCGTATTCCCATTCCTATAGACCTGTTGTCACTGTATTGGCTTATTCCGTTGCCATGACTACAGTGCTAGGGTTATCCCTGCTGTGTGATGGGAAGGAAGGGGATAGTCATGTTATACCTAGAGGAAAAAGGCATACCACAAACACCTCATATAAGACCTCTAAGGGATGAGTCCAGCAGTCACAGTGGTTGCTTCCAGGATTGTTAAACTCTATACTCAGAGTGAAGCATCGGGTGTTGGGGAGGGGGTTTCTGATACCTTGACAAATGAAGAAATAGGTACCTACCGATGACTTTCAGCAGTGAGACCCTCTCCTCCATGCAGCGCCGCAACTGGAGTTCTCCTGACCACCCAAGATGCTTCCGGGAAAAGGGAGAATTAGGGCCCACTCAAAAGCTTAAAGCTAGCTGCCATCTAAAAGACAGTGAGAACCCTTCCTCTGCCAAACCAAGAAACAACAGCAGGAGGCTGCATGCTCCATCCTTGACTTCACAGAACCAAGTCCTAACAACAGACAGAAAGTCTCTGTGGGTGAGGCCGTTGCTTAAATAGGCTGTCTCGGGATGGTTTCATTCGCAAAGCTTGTAAATTAAGTTTTCCAGTACATTTTGAGGTCAGTTCATACCTGACATATTACAGCAAAGGCTGTAGCACAGAAACCCACGAATGCAATGACCAGGCCAACAATGCAGCTTTGTCCCCCAAAAGTGAAACATTTATTTCACCTTCCTGGACTGGGGGAGGGGGGGTAGCTACCAACCCAGGGTAAGAATTTCTTGTATGCTAGAGAGACAGAAGTTGCTATATCTCTTCATTTGTGTTTCCTGTTGAAAAACTTAGTCACATGGCCACACCTACCCACAGGGGAGTTAAGGAAACAGCTTCCAACTGAACTATGCAAAGAATAGATGGAGCTGGGGACAGTCACGGTGTTCTACACAGAGTTGTGGGGAAACCTTTAACCCTTGTAGAAACACACTCAGTAGAAAACCACCTGGAGCCAGGTAATGATGGCACATACCTTTAAAGTCAACTCTCAGGAGGTGGTGGCAGGTGGATCTCTGAGTTCAAGGCCAGCCTGGTCTCCCAGGACAGCCAGGCTACAAGGAGAAACTGTCTCAAAAAGAGAGAAGGGGGAAGAAGGGAGGGAGAGAAAGAGATGGGGGGGAACCACCTGGTGTACCTGGGGGAAATGTATCCCCCTAAGTCATCACCTCTACCGTTCGAGTTCTGGAAGTATTCCCTCGCTGCCATTTCAGGGTCGGATCTGGAGCCTATGAGCAGGTAGTGATCAAACGCTAGAGGGGATGCCAGCGGTGGACAGACGCTTCCCTGGGGATGTGAGCTGTGGACACCAGGTGTTTCAAGGTGTTTTAGTCAAGCGTGTGAGAAAAACAACCCGTGTTCAAAGCAAAGTTCATCCGTGCAGAGGAAAGCAGTGCTGGCTCCTTCTCGGAGCACCCCCCCCCAGCATCCGTACCGACCCACTTGCCCACCCTTCTCAGAGCAGAGCACCCCCCATCATCTGTCCAGAGCCATCGCCCACCGAGGGAGCATGGGAATGGAGGGTAAAGGCCTGGTCTGCCTCAGCACCCCATCTGATTGTACTTTTTTTTAAAAAATTTTTAAGTAATCAACTTTAATTGCATGATTTACAACAGTTGAAGGGTTTTGCTTTCTGTTTTCAAGTTTTACAGAACGGGGGGCGGGGCAGAGTAAGGAAGAGAGCAAGGGAAGAAACTTCGGACACTTGCCTGTTAAAGTCACCACACTGGCCTTCTGCTTGTCCTTCCGAGGCACCTCGGAGGAGGATGGCATTGGACACATTTGAGTGTGATTTTGGTGTCCCAGCATAAAGATCCAAGGCAGGGGCACTCAACAGCTCTGGGCTGTGTTTAAATTTTACATTTCAGAGACCATGTGGGGGGTCAGTTTAAACCCATAAATGCTATCCAAATAACTGCAATTCCTATTAAGTACATCTTCCATGTCCCACTACCTATAGCTTTGTCCTAAGTGTATTTACGCCTTTACACAGCAATTGACAGAAGGTGGATGTCTGTGCTCTGGGACTCAAACACTTTAAGTACTTCATATTTCTAAATGTTTCTGACGTAAGTCAAAGGGCAAGTGTGCCCAAGTCTGAGACAGCTGGACGGAAGGAGCGCTGAGCCTGTGCCTCTGGGGCGAATATTGTCCCTGTCATTACTGTCAGATGGGCTGCAAAAGCCCCAGCCGCTCCCTGTAAGAGTCAAGGTGAGCTTACTAACCATCAGGATGTCAGCTGCCGTAGGCGAGCTTGGAGTAAAGCTCAGTTATGATCCATCCAGTGCTGAGACTTGCTGGGCTCAGCAGTCAGAAGGAAGACTGTGAGATGCTCAAACTTCCGCAAACTGACACTTACCGTGCCGTGCTAATGGACAGACGTCTGAGCGGCTGCCGGATTTCACTGACGCCATGAGACTGGTTCCTATTTTAGCCCCTTTGACCAGAGACTGTTTTCTTTGCTGTGTCAGAGCTGAGCTGTGTGAAGCCAGCGTAGACTATAACATACCTCCACTACAGCTTTTAGGGTGCAAATGTCTAGTCTGGATCCTGTTACCAGCACAGCACACAGCTGTGTGTTTCTGATTTTTAACAGTACCCGTGTAGAAAGAGCTAAACTTCCCTTCACTGAAGAGAAGCATGAGGTGGTACAGAGCCAGCAATGCCCCGGCCCCCACCTTCGCAATCATGTCTAAGCACACAGTAGGTCAGCACAGGCTTACTGTGGCCAAGATCCTTTTATGTTGACAAAGTAAGAATAGAGTTATGTTTGAATATCCAGATTGGAAAGTTTGGGGAAAAAGTGGAATTGTTCATGTTAGAATTTGCATTTTAATATCACAAGAATTAGGTAGTCTACATTAATCCAAAACCGTGGTTACAAACAGATGCTGAGGTTTATAAGCAGATGACACCCGTGTTAGAATGTTGTGAATACTGAGAGAGGATTTTCTGAATCGTGCTAGGACATGTTTGGAGGCTGGGGCATTGACACGGACGTCTTTCCCAGGGAAGATGCCATCTGAATAGGTGAGGACATGCTTCGCAAGGGGGCAGGTCCATTGTATGCGACAAAAAGATCAAAGGGCCTTTTGACTAATATTATTTGGAGATGTTTATTCTGACCATTTTAAAAGCATACTTTTCTATTTTAAAAATATGATTTCTAGGCTATATTTTTTATTGGCACTTCTGCAAATGATTTTGGGTCCTAAAGATGGTAATTAATAACACTGGATTGCGGGCATGGCTCACCGAAGCCTCTCTTTAGACACACACAAGGTGCTGAAATCAGGGCAGAGTCGCTGCCTTACTTAGCCTGGCTGCCCTGGGCCCTCTGACTTTACACAAGATTAGGTCTTGGCATTTTAAATGATACAGAATCCTTTTCAGTCGGTAGAGTGTTTGCCTGGACCACACAAAGCCCTGGGTTCGGTCCCCAGTACACATAACTGAGCATGGTGGTGCACACCTATAACCCCAGCACTTGGGAGGTGGAGGCAGGAGGATCAGATGCTTAAGGACATTCCTGACTCCATAGGGAGCTAGGGGTCAAACTAGACTGTAGGATGCCCTGTCTCAAAAAAGGAAAAATGAAAATGTGAAGAGATCTTGAAAACTGTTTTAAAAGCCTTTTTTTTTCTTTTAGCAGCTACTAAATAATCTTGACCTATATATCATTATGTAATAAAAAATCACTTAGTAGGTAGCGACATTGAGTAGGAAGGGGAAAGACTGGCTACGATGCTATAGGCAGCAGAAATCTGGAGTCTCCTTCCCTAGTGTCCAGGGTGTGATCTGCATTCACATTTGGGGTGAAGGGATGCTCGGATGCTCTCCTAATCCTTCTTCCTGCAGGGCATCTGTTGTCAGTCTCTCAGGCAGGAGGCTAGGTACCAAGCCTGCTTTTAATTCTGCTTTGAGCTTAGTAGACGATTGACTTGGGAGAGTAGAGGCTTACCAAGTTAGTCTTTTACTATCTAGGCCAAAATTTCAAGTCCAATCTTGGAGAATTTTTAGGTATGAACTGTTTTTTTTCTTCCGTCCTAGAGAAAAGACCACCTGCACTCTTTAAAGCTAGTGTTTGTGACCAGAAGAGAACATCTAAAATACCTTGTTCAGAAGAATGCACAGGCCAGTCAGGAGCACGTCTCCTGCCGCAAGCTGGTGCAACAAGACCATCTAGGATGTGAAGCTTAGGAAAAGGCAGAGGAGGCCCTGAACCATCTGTTTACACTTGAATGTGAGCTCCCTCTCGTGGTGGCATTGAAGGCTCCTGAGGACAGACAACTAGTGTAGATTAACACTTTTGCTCTTAAAGTCTTGACCAACAACCCTAAATGCCACCATCTCGTTCCAGCATAAAGCCATGAGAATAATATCCAAACTAGATTCTTTTCTACATGTTTTTGTGTTTTTAGTTTGTTGCTGTTGTTCTTTTTGTATAAAACTGTGAGCCACAGAAGTTGACCACTTAGCTTCCTTTGTTATTAGAAGGGGGGGGGGGGAATCTTCAACTAATCTCCAAAATGCATACAAATCCAGTCTCACGCCTGTAATCCCAGCACTTGGAAGGCTGAGACAGGAGGAGCTATGAGTTCAAGGATAGCCTGGGTTACACAATCTACTTGACTTCAAGGGCATTCTGGGCTCCATGGTAATCAGGAGCCCAAAATGAGACCCTGACTCAAAAAAAAAAAAAAAAAAAAAAAATCAGGCAGCACTGAGTTTTGATCAAAGCATCCAGAAGCAACTCCAGATTCTCAGACTTCCATGTTAAGTAAACCACTTTTGAAGCATAAGCTGACAGTTTCATTAACTATTTCACTGAAGCCTTTCCGAAGCCTTAGGCTTCCGCGTTTAGCACAAATCTCCGAGAGACACAGTAAGCTCGTATGACGGGATTGTATTGTTTTCTCTACAGGTCTTTCATGCAAACATTTCAGAAATCCAGTTCTCTTAGATGGTACGTCTTCTGAATATAACCGAGTAGGGTAGCTGGGACTGCATTAGGCCGCTGCTGTGCGTATTGGCTTAGCTAGGTGCTGCGCATATTGCTAGCAGAGGAGATAGATACTCCTGTAGTCAGCCTAAGTTAGGACTGCCCTGGAAATGAGGCTGTATTCCCTTCATCAGAAAATGTATACACCAACTGTTTTAAATGGTAATATGGGATTACCATATGGTAATATGTCTCCCCATAAGACAACGCTGATTAAAAAAAAATTTGATTTGCAATGTGTTCTGTGTTTTCCAGTGTGTCTGTTTATCTTACTTATCTAACTCTTTCGCCAATATTCATTGGCCAAAGTCAGTGTAAGGAAAGACAGACTATAGAAGAATTTGATGAATTTTGGCAATCTGTCTTGAGGGTTACCTTCCTCTATATTATTTCAGTCATTTGGAGTTTACACAGACTGTTTATGAAGAAGCGTTATTAGTAACTGAGGAATAGCTCAGTGGTAAGGAACGTTCCAGCATGTACAAGACCTGGGATTGGTCCTCAGCGCTGATAAAGGAAAATGAAGTGATTCCGTCAGTATTCTGTTCTAATACTTGGAGAATGACCTTCATGTTTATATATTTTATGTCTTATGTTTTAACTATACAGTGATAAAATCCAGGAAATGTTTTATAACAAAATAAACTTTTGTTTGTAAAATGTTTGTAATAATGTAAAAGTGGATCTTATACATGTTCAATAAAAAGCAGTATCTCAAAAGTCTAGATGTTCTTAATCTTTTTGAAGATTTTATTTTTGTTATTTTCATCTATGTGTGTGGGGTTCACATGGCAGTGTGGCACTTGTGAAGGCCAGAAGACTTGAAAGCCCTAGGGACAGAATCAGATCCTCAACCACTGAGAGCCATCTCCCCAGCCCTTTATCTTGTAAAACATTGGGAAGCCAGGTATGGTGGCCTGTGCCTGAAATCCCAGCCCCACTGGTCAGCCTTACAGCCACGCAATGGTAACACGCACCTTTAATCCCAGTAGCCACACTAGTTGCCATAGAAACCGGGCAGTACATGCTTTTTGTTGAAATAGGAGCGGCGGCGGGGCTGCGTCCCCGGCACCCGGCCGCCCGCATGGCTAGTTTATGCCCAGAAATAATTACACGGAAACTGTATTCTTTCAAACACTGCCTGGCCCGGCTAGGTCCAGTTTCTTATTGGCTAGCTCTTACATATTGTTCTAACCCATTTCTAATATTCTGTGTAGCCCATGAGCTGGCTTACCAGAGAGGATCTTAACCTGCGTCTGTCTGGAGTGGGAGCATCATGGCGACTCTCACTAAGCTTTTTCCCAGCATTCTGTTCTGTTTACTCCGCCTACCTAAGGGTTGGCCTATCAAATGGGCCTAGGCAGTTTCTTTATTAATAAGAAATCACTCCCACATCAGCTTTTAATCCCAGTAGTGCATGCCTTTAATCCCAGAACTAAAGAGGGTTACAAAATGGGAGGAAACAGCTCAGACTCAGTCTCATTCCAAGATTCCTGGAGACAGGATCACCATTTTCAGACTGGGGTCTAAGTGAGAGCCCATGCCTGGCTGCTTTACTTTTTGGATCTTCAGGTTGAGCCCCAATTTCTCTATCTCAGCTTTTATTAATCGTGCTTCAGGGAAGAGTCTCCGAACCCATCCCCAGGACACAGGTTAACTTGGTACCAGATCATAGTAAAACCAGGCAGGACCTCTGACCAGCCTGGCGCTCCCATTTTTCTCAGCATCTGGTGGTTTTCCTGTCTCCTGACCTTTCTCCTTTTCTTCCCTTTTCCTATTTCAACCTGTGTACCACTGTTCTAGCTAGCTTGTTGTCAGCTTGACACAAGCTAGAGTCGCCTGGGAAGAGGGACTTGAGAACATGCCTCCACCAAGTTAGTCTGTGGCATATTTACTTGATTAATGTCTGACTTGGTAGTGCCCAACCTTGGAGAGAGGTGGTACTGAGTTGTATTTTTTTTTTTAATGAGCTAGAGAAATGACTCAGTGGTTAAGAGCACTGGCTGCTCTTCCAGAGGTCCTGAGTTCAATTCCCAGCAACCACATGATGGCTCACAACTATCTGTAATGAGATCTGGTTCCCTCTTTTGGCGTGCAGGCATACATGGAGGCAGAATGTTGTATACATAATAAATAAATAAATCTTTATAAAAGAAAAAAGTAGGCTGAGCAGGCCATGGGGAGCAGGAAGCAGCGTTCCTCCATGGCTTCCCTTGATGGTGATGCACTGTGCTATTGAAATATAAGCCAAAGGAACCCTTTACTACAGCAAAAACCAAGCAGAAAAATCAAGCTAAGATAACTACTTCTCTAGTGGTAGCTCATAATGCAAGTTTCCATGTGGATGGCATAGGAAACCATCAATAAAATTAATCTAACCTGTGTTTATGTAACAATCAGAAAGCAAACTGGACAGGGTCAAATTTAGACACTTCCTGGATCTGTGATACCTGGTCTCTGGGAAACCCTCTAACAAGGAAATGTCAGTCAAAGGCATCCTGATGAACTGCTTCAGATACATGCCTATGCAATTACAGCTTGCCTAAGTGGAGGTGTCTTCTCAGACTGGTGTCCTAGTTTTGTTTTCGGTCGGTCGGTCTGGGTGTGCGCTTGCTTTGCTTAGCTACAGTCTAGTCAATGCTATAGTATATGCAGCTACTTTAGGAAAAGTGCGCCACCTTCTGGCACTGGACCGCAGTGACTCCCAAGTGATCCTCCATCTGCACATATATTCCACGGAATAAAACCAAAGGGGGGGGGGGGAAACATTGGATATATTTTTCAGGAGTAATTTTTAAATACTTTAAAATATCTGTCAAGAAATTTGTATCAAGTCTTTTGCACAAGCTGCTTGACTAAGGTGAAATGTTTCTTGTGGTGTGGAATTAACGAAAGGTTCTGAAAGGGCAGGTTCATGAGAAGACCCACCAGGAAGAACTAAGTGAAAACATGATAAAGCACACATAGAGTCAGGCCGGGACACAGACATCACAGTGGGAACGCAAGGGTCATATAGTGAACACCCAGGGTCCTGGGGGTCAAGGTTAATAGATGTAGATGCAGTGTTTCTAGGCACAAAGAAACTGATTTAACTGGATTTGTCTAATGCTGGCCTGGATCACAGACTGCAGAATGAAATGGGTAAGAAAAGGTAATTACAGTGTGAAGGCAGAAGGGATGCAGGCAAAATGTATATACAATTTGGCAGGTGTAGTGGGCCTCCAGACATTAGCACAACTGACTCCATGAGGCAAGTGTCATTCAGGCTGTAAAACTCAGCACATAGACAGCACCACCTGCCAAAACAAAAACAAAGACCCAATCCATCAAAGTCCATAGTTCTGGAAAGCCTCGAAATGGACTAACCTTACTCTTTGATTTCTGTAGTTCCACTTCTGGCTAACTGTTCTTATTAACTGAAGTATGTCAACCCAGAACATGGGTTTTGTGCTAAAAACTCACCCTGAGAAAGGCTCAGCACTACACTGGGATCCCAACCACCCGGTGTAGTCAGCGGCCAGCTAATAAAGACTTTCTGTTGACGTAAGCCCAAGTCTGTGTGGACAGCCCAAATCAGCAGGAACATTAAAAACCCAGCAGATAATATGTAGGGGGCATGAAGTGTTAACTTTTGCAGGGGTAAGAGTTTTTAACCAGCATGTGGGGCTTCAAAAAAGTATTATTTTCTGTACAGATTTCTAGAACTTCCAACTCGCACCAGCTTGTGATGTCTCAACATTTGTGCCCAAATGTTCTTTCTCAAGTATTCAGAAATGTGTGCATCATATATACGTATACATATGTTTCTGTGGCATCCTACACAAGGTGGAAATGCATTGCTCTTTAAGTCTTCGGAAGATTCTTCTGCCACTGCTGATGGTGTTCAGTCCGTGGCTTCCCGCAGCTGCTGAACACAAGTCATGGGACCAGGGATGGTGGGTGTTGTCATTGAAACCCAGTCCAGGGGAGAAAACTGCCTTAATTGGAATTATTCCTTGGCCGCCACTGACAGGGCTGAGGACACTATGGACGCTGCAGTGCCCACTAGAAAGACTGTAGAAGGGAAGATGAGACGTCAGAGCAGACGGGGAACTGACTGCTGCCGCGAGGAGGGGCGGCTAGGAGAGTCTCAGGGAGACGCCTAAAGGACCAGGTCTCACGTGCAGATCATAAGGAAACAACTTGAACTCAAAGAATGCTGGGAAAACAAGCTTCTGTGAAATCACAGAAATCTCTCAAAAGTTCTTGCTATCATTTCCATCTTTAATGTTTCCCAGAGAGCCCCGGGGTGAGGTGGGGAGAGGGGTGCGGCTGGGAATTCATGGACCCTTTAAGAGGTGGAACACCATGGAAGATCTTACATCACTGGGGGTGTGCCTTTGCAGAATTGAGACCTTGGTTCCTTCCTCTCTTTTGCTTCCTGGCTACGAAGGGAGTGGGTTTACTGTACTAAGAGGTCTGGCCACCATGGACTGCCCTGCCAGAGGCCCAAACAACAGAGAGAAATTATCTCAGACAGGAACCTCCAAGACTGTAAGTTGAAACGAAACCTTTGTCTTTTTAGCTACCTCAGGCATTTTGTCAAGATAGCTAAGCTAGAGCCGCCCAGCCTGGAAGCGGGAGCCGGAGGCCATGGCTGGTTACCTGTTTCACACGTAGTCTGGGAATGTGGGCCCTGCTGGGTGGCAAAATCTAAGGCAAATGTTTAGGTAAAATTCTGCCTCCTACAAAACCACATTCTTCATTGCCACAGAGCAGTTTAAGCACTGGAGAAAAAGCATCTTGAGTTACTATGCTTAAAACTGTGTGGCTCAGGCGATGGCTCAGTGTTTATGAGTGCCAGCTGCTCTCAAGATCACCTGGGTTCAATTCCCTTCACCTACTTGGTGGTTCATGACTGACTGCAACCCCAGTCCCAGGGGATCTGATGCCCTCTTCTGCCCTCAGGCACCAGCCACGTGGCAAAACACTAGACACATACAAAGTAAACAGGTAAATACCTTTCTTAAAGCTGTGTGGCCCATTCAAGTGAAATGCCTGGGGTGGGGAACAATGTTAGTCCTTGTAAACTGGGATCTACCCTTAGTGAGTCGAGAACAAGGAATATTTGCTAATTGTCTCTAGGAAGGGATAGGAAGGGCAAGCTCTTGAGGAACATTTCTTTACAGTCTCAAAACTAATGAGGGGTAGGGGATGGTCAGTGGTTAAGAGCACTGGCTGCTCTTCCAGAAGACCAAGGTTCGATTCCCGGTACTTATGTGACAGTTCACAACTGTCCTTGATTCTAGTCCCAGGGAATCCTATGCCCTCTTCTGGTCTCTAAGGGCACTGCATGCCCATGGCTCACAGACACAGATGCAGGCAAAACACCCTACACACAAAATTTTTGAACAGAGCAATTGAAGTTTTTAACATGAATTTCTATACACAACTATTAACATTTTGCAAAAGAACATGTTGTCAATACAGAATGGAGCACATCCGGTCACATTTATAAGTTGTTAATGACAAAGTCGCATCAAAAATATACAATAGGGGCTAGAGAGAAGGTCAGGCCGCTAAGAGCACCTGCTGTTCCTGTACAGGACTGGGATCCGATTCGCCGCTCCCACACTGGATGGCTCACAACTGCCTGGAATTCCAGCCCCAGGGAATCCACTGTCCCCTTTTAACCTTCTCAGACACCTACACGTACATGTGCATACACATACACAGGTACACACAAATACCCATAAGACTTAAAAGGCAAATATTTAAAATATATATTAGTAAAAGAACAAGGATAACAAGGGTAAAAAAAAATCACTTAAGCCATTTGGGAGGGAGTTGATATAAAATATAGGCAATCAACTGGATTCTATGCAGAATAGTAGGCGGAGCTGCTCTTCGGGGAGCAATGAATAGGAGAAGCCGGAGTCCCCAGGAGGCTATGAGATTGTGGGTATTGAAGATAAAAAGAATTAAGGTATTACTAGCTTTACTTTAGATTATATAGTTCTGAACTATTCCTTTCGTAATTTACATTGTAAGGCTGTTACAGAAAAAAATAACTTGCACAGTGTTTGTTCCTTTGTTTGGGTTTTGTTCTCTGTTTGTTTGTAGGCAGGGTCTCACTATGTAGCCCCAGCTGTCCTAGAGCATGGAGTGTAGACCAGGTTGGCTTCAAATTTCTCTCTGCCTCCTGAGTGTTGACACCGCAGGTGTGTGCCACCACACACAACAGAATCTTTTCTTGTGTGCTGCTAAGGGATCAAAATCGGGCCTCGAGCATGCTGGGAATAAGGGGATTTGGAGCTTAGGTGCTGTTTTGTGTTTGCTTTCAGGGAGATTTAAATGTAACGACAACCTTCCCCATCAAGGCTGCAACCATCTGGGGGTTGGGAATGTAGCTCAGATGAAGTGCTTGCCCAGCACGTATGAAGCCCTGGGTTCAATCCCCCAGTTCTGCAGATAACAGGTGTGGTGCCACAGGCCTGTGATCCCAGCACTTGGGAGGTGGAAGCGAGAGGTTCGAGGTCATATTCAGCTACATGCTGGGTCTGAAAAACAAGGTCTCAGACACTTTAAATTCAACAAGAGCTTACGCTTGCAAGAAAACGTACTTCCTCTCCATCCATAAACTTCTCAGCAGGAACCAGTGCTTAGCCCAGAAAACACTACAGCAAATATGCTTTGCTCAGAATATATGGACCATATATTCCTAGCAGGAGCTCCCCAGCAGGACAAAGAAGGGAGGGGGATTAAAGTTACACAGACCCTTGTGGCTGGGGTAGAGCTCGGCGCTGCAGTGGCCTGGATTAGATCCCAGCACAGAGATATTCTTAAATGTCGCCAGATAATAGATCCTAAAAGAGTCCCCTCGTTCCAAGGCTTGTGAGCTTTCAGAAGGGAAGAAGGTAGCATGAGGCATTAGGGCCTCAAAAAGTGCGTTTCTAAAGTCTGGTTTCTTCGGATGCTCCCTGAGAATCCCCAGACTGGGACAGGATAAGGAGGAAGAGATCTGTCACTCAACACTGAACTTCAGCAGCAAGGTTCAAATGAGTGTGGTGTAAGAGAAAAAGGCTCACAGGTGACAGGTTAGGGACGATGCCTGGAGGGGACACGGTTTCGGCAATCTCCATTCTGCAGTGTCTGTGTGTGTCTGTGTGCCTGTGTCTGGTTAGGAGCAAAGTAAAGTCGCTCTGTGGAGAGCAGAGGACACCGGGGTAGTGTGAGGTTGTGTGTTTGCACTGTTCTGTTTCTAGAAGGCTGTCAGGTGCTTGGCCATTCAGGCTGAAAAATAATTTTGATTTCTAACTACCACAACACTTTCTCATCAGCATGTATAAGAGCTTCCCACTGTGGCTATTACACCTCATTTTACACAGAATTGGGACAAAACTCCCCTAGCAAGCCTGATTGTTCTCTGCATTTGGTTTTTATTGTTATTTTTGGGCTTTTGTTTTTCTTGAGACAAGGCCTCGGGTAACCCAGAGTGGCTGCAAACTCACTATGGAGTCGAGGATGACTCTGAACTTCGGAACCTCTTTGTCTCCACTTCCCAAGAGCTAGCATTGCAGGCAACACCCCACTGCACCCGGCTTGCATTCTACGATCATAGCAGTAGGGGTTGCCGTCTCTAGTGTCCTCACTCTTTAGAAGGATCATCCCTTGTGTGGCTTCAGAAACAAGGGCCTGTGCTGGGCTCAGGGGTAGAGCATCTGCAGTGCACACACAGAGCCCTTGGGTGCAGTCCCAGTATCAAAGGAAAGAGAAAAGAGCCGATGGCTACAGACTAAGCCTTTCAATGTGCAAAGGCAGGCATTTATCAAAGCTGGGAAGAGCAAGCCAAAGGCTGAAGTGTGGCTCAGTGGTAAAGCTCTGGGGGAGAGGGAGGGGTGCAGACCTACGAGAGAGCTGTTCTCGTCCGCATAGCAGTCATAAGCACATAAAGGGTTTGTGGGTAAGGGGTTATCAAGCCTCAAGGGGACTGACGGACTAACTCTGAAGATACGATCGAGGGCTTTACCATGGCTAGAAGACGTGACGTCAGCAAAAAAGCCATGATGGGCAGGGAACGCTGAGGAAAACCTTGGGCACAGACATGGAAAGGTGAATGGAAAGGAACGCACACCTCTAAGGTCGTGTACACCTATGAGCACCTGAGGCACGTGGAAATCTGGTGGGTTAGTCTAGAAGATTCAAAGATGGCATCTGGCTGGCAGTACCTATAGGATTGATTTTTCTAATGAAAACATTCTCACCAAATCCAATGATGATTAACCCTTGAAGACTCAGCTTAAGGATAAGTGTCCACAGAGCTCTTGCCCAGGGGCCAACTCTGCAGCCACAGAACAGTTCCAGACTAAGCCCCAGGGAGGTCACCACAATCTGAGTGGCACAGGCTGTGTGTCAACATGTCCAACTTTTTCTGGTTCCTTAGGAGGTGACTGAGTATGCATGTGGCTTCTTAGAATATCACTTCTCAACTTCCTTTACTGTCACACAGGAAGTGGCAGCAGTGTTGCTTAGCGACAAGCCACAAAGCACACCGGGCAGCTAAGGAGCTCCTCCTCACTTTCTTTCTGCTAGTGTGGGCTATGCAAGTGGGAACCCCAGGCTAGTCCACCGTCTCCGCCACAGTTACCAAGATGGACATCAGGGACTCTGACACGGGGGAGCAGCCATGCCTGGCTGACACACCTCTGGACTTCCATGCAGCACACAAGAATATCCCCTTGGAGCCCCTTTTCTCTTTCCTTAAACAAAGCCACATTTCTCTCTCTCTGCAGCTATTCCCACCCCAACGCCTGTCAGAAAACTTTGGGAGGGTATTCATAAGTGCGTGAGGATGTAGCTCAATGGTAGAGCCCTTACCTAAATGTGCAAAGCTCTGGGGTTCAACCTCTAGCACCACACACACACACACACACACACACACACACACACACACCATAAATGCGGACAGTGATCACTGCAGATTTCTATACCCTTCAAAAACCAGCCATGTTCCTTTCTCATCTAACATACTTTTGAAAAGTAAAAGGATAATCCTAGATTTTAAAGCTACATCACCCCTGGGAAAAGTTGGGCAGAGGAACTGGTTTTGTTTCTGAGATCTCACCATGCAGTCTAGGCTGGCCTCAAACCCATGATCCTCTTGTGTCCTCCATCCAGGTGCTAGGATTTTAGGTAAGGGCCTCTAAGGTTCTCAAGTGGCTTTGATTGCATTTAAATGTTTTAATGTCACATTCAACATATGGCTCTAACACCAAAACTGGGAGAGGATAAAACTAACACATGGCCACACCCAATGTTCTTGTAAACACCAAATGGAAAATAAAAACCCAATGTTTAAAGAAAGCAGCTCCTTCCAGTTGAACCCTTTCTCAGCGAAGAGCAGTCTACGCCAGGGACGTCTGTCAACCAGTTCAGGACCCGATTTGTATTAAAACTTTCAAAGTAGTACTTGAATTATGACTGTGCAAAGTTTAAATCCCAGGGCTGAGGACGTAGCTGAGTGTCAAAGTGCTTGCTTACCATGCAAATGGCCCAGGGTTCAATTCCCAGCACCACAAAAAAAAAAAAAAAAAGTTTGAATTCCAAGACAACTCAACTCTCAGCATGACTCTGAGCTTTGGAAAATTCAGATGGCTCAATTATCTTCAGGCTGATAATCCCAAGAATTGTGCAGGTCAACCACGACTGCAGAACCGTCGCTGCTTAGGGACACCGAGTCAGCAATGAGGGACCGCATCCTCTCTTCGTCAGTACACAAGAGCTGCAGCTTGGGATAAGCGAGCAGTCTCCTCAGGGGTATGAAAAACTTCTCTCCTTCACAGAAGGGCTGGGGAGTATTTTCTATCCTGGCCTTTTCAGCCTCTGTGAATACAGCTCCCAAGAGTAGGTGAGGGGCTGGGGAGCAGTCCATGGGCCCTGGCTGAGGGCCCAGCTCCTTCTCCTGCTCCCTCAGCATCCGCTGGTGTCTCAGTCTCAAGCGTTCCACTTGTATCAGGAGCTCCCCGACCAGTACAAACTTGAGCACCTTTTCCTGCTGTAAACTCGGGTAGGTGGTTGTATAAACCTAAGGGAAGAAAAACCAAACAGAATACCCAAGTGTGTTTAAACCATCAGCAATTCAGTAACAAGCTGTGCATTGTAAAAGCCTTAATCTCACTGGAAATCAAACATATATAGACACTAGGTGGCTGCTTTGCTTCCAATTCTGATGACAACTAAATCTCAGCAGTGTTTCTACCAACAGGCACTAACCCAGTATTCCCCTTTAAAAAAAAATTTATTTTATTATTTGGTATGTATGAGTGTTTTGCTTGCATGTACGTCTATACAACATATGCGTGTCTGGTCTTACTGAAGCCAGAAGAGGGCATCAGATCTGATGGGACTGGAGCTAACAGAAGACGAAAGCCTAACCGAACCTACAATCCAGTGTTTCTACTTGCTATTACATGGAAATTAGTGTAAAAAGAAGCACTGGTTCAATCTAGAATCAGTGGTACATGCCTACAAGCCCAGAGTTCCTTGAAAGACTAAGATAACTGCTGGTCCAAGAGGTCAAGGCCAGTCTAGGTAACAAAGTGACACACAAGCTGAAGAAAACCAAGAATAAATGAAAATGATTCCATCAAGAGAAGAATGGATTCTTTTGAAAGTCGAAGTAGGTTTTGTCATTCATGTGTGCACGTGCCTGTGTGTTTATGTGTGTGTATGTGTGTGTATGCATATATGCATACATTCGTGCATCATGGGCTGGGGAGGAACAGTTAGCAACAGTAAAGGGACAGCCAGGAACTAACACTGACAGATTACAAAGGAGGCAGCAGCAGGAGTCCTCTCTGGAACATCCTAAGAAGACCTCCAGTAAACTGCTCTTTGTCGTGTAAAGCCAAGGGGCCAGGCAGTCTCAAAGAATGCCACAGACTGACCCTGACCCTGCCAGGACTCATGGAGCCTGAAGCATCTTTCTAGATGAGCCTCAAAATTAGGTCACTTGGCCAGGTGTGGTGGTGCACACCTTCGACCCCACACACTTGGGAGGTAGAGGCAGGCAGATCTCTGTGTATTCAAGACCAGCCAGGGCTACACAGTGAGACCCTGCTTTCTACTGTGGGGACTAGTGATGTGGAAAAGGAGAAGGGGGGAGGGGAGAGAAAGATGGAAGGAGAAAAGATGGACGAGGAGGAGGGTTAGGGATAAGGAGGAAGAGGAGGAGGAGAAGGAAGAAGAGGAGGAGGAAGTAGTGTGGTAATGGCGGTAATGGCGGCAGGGTGGTGGGTGGCAGCTGTGGTTGTAGTCCTGTGCTCACCACCTGTCATGTGACCCATGGATTTCTATTTCGCAGGAATACTCACAACTTTGTACACATGCCGGTCATGCTGCTGTGAAGCACGGGACTCAGCTAGCTTCCCGCTGTTCTTCCTAAAGACACCTATCTGGGTACAATATCCGACATGCTCAGACCCAGCTGGGGGTGTCCCGACCCCAGTAAACTCCACACAATAACTGTAGCAGTTTGCCACTCGGGAAGCCCTGATATCAAACAACAAAGAGAAGTCACTTCTCTGCACATACAATTCTGGTTAAACAACTTTGTAAACAAACAATTTTGGGGGGCTTTTCAAGACAGGGTTTCTCATGTAATAGCCCTGATTGTCCTAGAACTCGCTTTGTAGACCAGGCTGGCCTCAAACTCAGAGATCCGCCTGCCTCTGCCTCCTGAGTGCTGGGATTAAAGGTGTGCGCCACCACCGTCTGGTATCAACAAACAATTCTTAAGTGACTTCTTGTCAGCAGTTTTAGAAAAAAACAGAAAACATATGAACAAAGGACTTCTCAGCCAAGCAAGGAGGTGCATGCCTATCATGTTACTTGATAAGGCAGAAGGATAAGGCGGTTAAAGCTAGCCTGAGCTATATAATGAGACATCATCACAAAGAAAAAATTCCAAAGTTAAACATCCGTGCACAAGTGTATGATGGGTACCAGGACACCCGACATCTGTGGGGAACAAAGGCAGTGACACGTCTTAGGTTTCCTGCTGGGAGCCGATTTGAGTGGTTGCCATTACAAGATGGCATTTGGCCCTGGCCTCGCTTGATACCATAATAGAGATTGCAGTTCTTCCACCAGAAAACAGGATGAGTTGTTGTGATCTAGCTGCCCACACTCCCCCTGACCGGCAGGGGAACTTCCTTGTGGTCTGTAATTGACAGGGATGTTCCCCTGCTTTCTTTCTGGCAGGTGGGTCTCCAGAAAAGCAGTTAAAGTATCAAAGTATCAAAGGTTGCTAGGCAGACTCCCTATATAAGCAGCTACAGCTCAGAGCTCGGGACCCCTCGCTTCCTGCTCTCCCTATAACCAAGAGGCTCCAATAAAGCGTGATTTGGGAAGAATCCTCGTCTGGTGGCTGTTCTTTCCTGCTGGTCAGGGAGTTCGCCACAGTTTCCAAGTTACCTCAGGAACAGGAAAGGGGGGCTACGGGACAGGCAGTGTGCAGGTGTGGGTGAAGCCAAGAAGCCGCCCCACACATGGGCGTGAGCGCCCCTCACACCCCCACATCCTCCCCACTCTGGTCCTCAATCTATGCCAACACTACAGGCGCCTCCCAAAGAGCATCCACTAGGCACACGCTCTTTTCTCCTGCGGCCCAAATGGGCTGCTTTCCTTGTGATCCGGCTACATCATGAGCCACACGTGGAGACCTTGCTGGAATAAACTAAGAGTTTGAATAAGACAGCTTACTTCCTATAACAGGATTGCTGCCGAACAACAACAAACAAAAGAACCCTTCTGAGCTCACCAGGTCTGGAACTCCTTTCTGCTCCACTCGAATTTATGATCTGCATCCCTCAGGGACACTGTGGGAAACAGGGGGTTGAATTCAGCATTTGGTGTGGTGATGACAACCATGGACGGCGACAGGTATCCAAAGACCACTTCGGGAAACTTGGCCAGGTCATCTGAATTCAAATGCTCTATTCTAAAATGGTTGACAAGAAAGACAGAGTTAAATGCGGCTTCACTGGGTGTATTCTCCTAATTGGCCTGGCAAAAATAACTCCTACCTGGATGTTGTTGATTTATCCCTTCTCTGATGATGCAGCAGCCCACAACCCAGGATCAACTGTTCTCACGTTTGAACCCTTCCCACTCCCAGCTTTGCCCAGGGTGACCCATCAGCTAAGATCCACCCTCCGCTGCCCTCTGTAGAACTCATGTCAACACTCCTTTTCACAAAGCATCTGAACTTGCATGTTCCTTGATTTCCCAGGAACACATCATTGCCTCTGTGATTTCTTTTCAAAAACGGCAGGACACTGCCAGACAGCTCGGCAATTGTGAGCACTTGCTCCTCTCACAGGGGATCCAGTGTGGTTTCCAGCACCCATGTCAGGTGACTCACAACCACCTGGAACTACAGCTCCAGGGGATCCGATGCCCTCTGCTGGCCCCCAGGGGCACCTGAACTCACATGTGGATGTGCGTGTGCAAGAATGAGGACCTAAGTTCAGATCCCCTGTACTCAGAAAAAAAATCTGGCATGGGAACATACATCTGTAACTCCCAAGGCTGGGGAGGCAAAGATCAGAAAATCTTGGGCTTGTTGGCCAGCCAGTGTAGACAATCAGCAAGATCCATGTTGAAATATGAGCGGCGGGGCTGCGTCCCCAACACCCAGGCCGCTTGGCTAGCTCATGCACGAAATAACAACACACAAACTGTATTCATTTAAGAACTGCTTGGCCCATGAACTCTAACCCTTACAGGCTAATTCTCGCACCTGGACTAGCCCATTTCTAATGATGTGTGTAAGCACCCCAAGGTGCGCTTACCGGGAAGATTCTAGCCTCCATCCATGATGTCTCTGCTCCAGAGCGCAGAGTTGTCTGGTCTCTCTGGGAGCAGAGCAGAGTCTGACCTCACTTCCTCTTCCACCCAGAATTCTATTCTGTTTATTCCTCCCATCTATGTTCTAAGCTGAGGCCAAGCAGTTGGTTTATTATAACTTAACCAATGAAATCAACAGATTGATATATGACATTCCCACATCAGATCCAGGGTCAATGAGAGACCCATCTCAAAAAAACACAAGGTGGTCAGGAATGGTGGCACACGCCTTTTATTCCCAGCACTCAGGAGGCAGAGGCAGGCAGATCTCCGAGTTCAAGATCAACCTGGTCTACAAGAGCTGGTTCCAGGATGGCCAGAACTACACAGAAAAAATCCCTATCTCAATAAATAAATAAATAAATAAATAAATAAATAAATAAATAAATGAACAAATGAGTGAATAAAATATAAAACAAGGTGAGAGTAACTGGGGAAGACACAGGAAAAAACTAGTCTCCAGCTCCCAGGCATTTACGTTCTTGAGTACATAAACCCACACTCATGTTCCCTGGGACAGCAGGTAGTTCAGAGCTGTAGCATCTGCTCAGGATGTATGAAGCACTTGATCAACACTCCATCCCACCAAAATAAAAACATTCTCAAAATCTAACGCTGAAATGCTATGCTGAATCCAGATTAAGGGATGTTCTAGAAAGCAGAAAGACTGAGCAACCCTGTTCGAGATGATTAATAGACACTCCAAAGACATCACACTAAAATCCCCAGGCTAGAGATGGTGGCGCACATCTTTGATCCCAACACTCAGGCGCCAGAGGCAGAAGAAGCTCTGTGAGCTCCAGGACAGCCAGGGCTACACAGAGAGATCCTGTCTCTATGTAGTGCCAAAGCGTAAAATAAAAAATAAAACAAGGCCCACATTTTAAGTGAAAATTAGACTTGAAAATAGTTATAAAAGCTATCACGAGAACAACTGAGTTGTTAAGTGTTGGATGTGAACCATATAACATGACCATATATCATACACATCATTGTGAGCCTGGGTTTTGTTTTGTTTTTTTTTAGGTTTTTCAAGACAAAGTTTCTCTGGGTAGTTCTGGCTGTCCTGGAACTTACTCTGTAGACCAGGCTGGCCTAGAACTCACAGAGATCTGCCTGCCTCTGCCTCCTGAGTGCTGGGATTAAAGGCATGAATGACACCTGGCCATTGGGAGATTTCTTAACACAACATACTATGGCTACATAAGAGGAAGCACGCCATCTTATTTTTTAATTTATTATTATTGTGTGTGTATGATGAGAGGATATGCATGTGCCATATGTGGAGGCCAGAGTACAACACTGAAAACCAGTTCTCTCCTTCTATCTTTACATGGGTTCTGGAAACTGAACTCAGGTCTGTAGACTTACATTGCCAAGTGACTTTTCCTGCTGAGCCATCTCGTTGACCGAAAGCATTTCTTCTTAGGAAAGATATTTAAGGGCCTGCGATATGGCTAACAGGCTAAAGGTGCTTGCCGCCAAGCCTGACAACATGAGTTCAGGAACACACACATACACACACAATCTAATAAAAGTTTTAGGAAACTTTTAACATATAGGTATTTATGAGTAAAAGGCCATGGTCTCCAATGTACTCTCAAGTGGACTGTATTAAAAATGCATATGGGAGACTACACCTAAAAGCCTAAGTAAATGGAACCAAATGTAAAGAATTAGTGAGCCTGGTAGTTTGTACCAGTACCAGTACCTTGTACCTAATCCCGCAACATCTGTAAGTCTGTAACTACAAGTGATAACAGAAATACAACAGGACTGGAGCTGGGGCTCAGCGGCATTGCCCTGCATCAGATCCCCAACACCTCAAACAATATGATTCATGGGAGGACTTGGAGGGGAGGAGGGACAACATAATTATATTAATCTCAAAAGATAAGGCTATTTTTGAAGACATTACCAAATACTACTAAATCTGGCATCACAGATTAACCCCAGCACAACGGAAGTATCACCACTACCCGACTCTTACCAGGTGACAGACCATCCCACAAAAGAAATACCTGAATTAAATGACTCATAGATCACAAGGACTTAACATAAAATCTATAGAATATTCCATTCAAACACTGCAGAATACACATTCTTTCCAGAAGCCCATGGAACTTTCTCTAAAGTAGATCATGAATTAGGACACCAAGCATGTCTTAATGAGTACAGAAAAACTGAAATGATTCCCTGTGTCCTGTCTGACCGCAACGCAGTAAGACTACAAATCACAGCAAGAGAAACCCTAAAGGGCACAAAGCCCTGATTTCGATCCTTAGCACCACATAAAACTGAGCATGGCACACACCTCTAATCCCAGCACTTGGGAGGTAGAGGCAGAAGGATGAGACATTCAAGATTATATACAGCAAGTTTGAGACCATGCTGGGCTATGTTACACAGGGGCTGGAGAGATGGCTCAGTGGTTAAGAGCACTAGCTGCTCTACCAGAGGACCAGAGTTTGATTCCCACCATCTAGATGGTGGCTCACAACTGCCAACTGTCTGTGATCCAGTCCCAGGGGATCCAGTCCCTCTTCCATCCTCCTCAGGCACTGCCCACACTTACATGGCACAAAGACATACATTTAAGCAAACACTTATGCGCTTAAAGGTTAATTAAAATCTAAAAGCTAGATACATTATAAGAGAAGAAATACAAATGAATTTCTTTATTTTTATGTGTGTAAGTGTTCTGCTTGCAAACCATATGCCCTCAGAGGTCAAAAGAGGTAGTTGGTGCCCATGGAATGGAGCCATGGATGGATGTTAGCTGCCGTGTGGGTGCTAAGAACTGAACCCATATCCTATGCAAGAACAAGTGTTCTTAATTACTGAGACATCTCTCCAGACCCACAAATGAAATTTTTCAACAGGAGTAAAGGCCTATGTATATAATCTTTTAATTATTTCAGGGGGCAAAGCACCATGGGGAGGGAGAGGATGCACACGTATATAACAAGGACCAGAAGGAAGCAGTCACAGGTGGCTGTGTGGTGAGTATATGAATGTCTGTTTCTGGAATTATCTTCATTCTTGGAATTCCTAAGAAAAATACTAACAGTAAAAAGATACTCCCAGCTGATGAGTTGTGATCATTTTACAAATAATGACATTGATTACTGAGGCTAATTCCTTCATATTTTCCAAAGTGGAGAGCCGATGCAACTTCCAGACTTACAATTCAATGCATGTTATCAAATCGAATCCAAGCAGGCGAGAGTCTCTCTCCACAACAGAGCCATGATACAAGATGACAGTCAAATCTAGATCTCGGGGTTTTACAAACTCCCCCAGGTAGGGAGACAAGTAATGCCTGCAAAAGAACAATCAGCAGTCAGCAGCATCAGGAAACAACCTACTTAGCGATCGGGGCTGGGGGTACGGCTCAGAGCAGAGTGTGCACCTAGCTGTATGAGGAGAGGCCCTGAGACTCAAGGTCCTGCTTTGGTGTGTGTGGACTTACAGCTGGGACTCCCAGCACCAGAGGTAACAAGAGAAGGAGCTCTCAGAGCTGCAGAACCCAGATCCCCTGATGTGAGTCCCACTCCGCCTGTTTTTCTCTGGTACTGAACACTAGGCCATGGGGCAGCTTCCTTCCACGGCGGGAAGTAAGGTCACTAAACATGACTTTAAATTTCCCACACTGTTCTCATTGCCACACTTTGCCTCTCTTTGGAACAGAGACATTTCAGCTCTTTAGAAGAGCAGGTTCAAAACAATCTAGAAATCTATTTATCAGAGAAGCAGAACGGTGAATGTGGTGTGGAGGGACCAAGTATATGCTACAACCCTCCCTTGGAACTGTCGCGGCCATGAGACTCAAACCACCACTTAGGAGAGAGGCATTAAAGCCAGGCATGGTGACACACTGCGAATTTAAGCTGAGGACACTTATGCTATATCATAATATCTTGTCTCAAAAAGGAGGAAGAGTCCATCTCTTAGGTGAGAGCCCCCATGACCTAAGACTATACCCCACCTGGCGACAGTTCTACTACCACCCTGGGGACAAGCTTCCAACACAAGCACCTTTGGGAGATGAAACACATCCAAACCATAGCACTAGAAGTATTACCCATTTGAATGTAATTTTTCTTCATTGATATCTATCCCAACAAGCAGCTGAATGCATGGATAGATTTTTAGCAGCTTTAGGAGCTTGGTATCGCCACATCCCAGGTCTGCAACCTATAGATGAGACACAGCATCATTTGCACAACATTCATAGCCAGAAAAGTAGGAGCTCTTAAAACTAGAGGATGCCCGGGAAAACGGTTCAGGTTAGTGAGTGCAAGAATAAGGACCGGAGTTCAGACCCCCGACACCCATATAAAGTCAGATGTGGGAGAATGTGTCTATAACCCTATTTATAGCCTCGCCAAATCTGAGAGATCTGGGTTCTGAGAAACCTATCTCAAAAAAACACAAGGTAGGGAGTGACAGAGAAGACACCCATGTTGGCTGGTTTTGGGCCTCCACCCACACATATGTGTGCATGTGCTCGTGCACGCACCTCAGTGGGAGATTGTGAATCAGTAGGGAAAACAAAGTTATTTTATGGAAGGATCTTTGGAGGTAGGATTGTATACACAAAAAAACAAATTAAACTGAGACTTTTTAATCCTGCAGGTAAATCAGTGGTTGAGGAAAAGTCGGACAAAACCATGCTTATTCAGAACAATTGCTTGAGGTTCAAGGTTATCAGAGCAAGAATCACAAGTTGAGTCTTGTGTAGCCAAACCACCTCCTGAGTGTTAAGAGTTCTGGGATTACAGTATGTACCTCTATGCCCTTTACGAGATGCTGGGGGTCAAACTGGGAGCTGTGTGTGTGCTGGATAAGCATTCCACCAACTGCACCATATCCCCAGGGAACAACCACATTGAGCCATATGAAATTCCACATTGGAAAAAAAAAAGGCCCCTCAGACCCTTCAAGTGAACAGATTTGCTGAAAAGGCTGCTGAGACAGATGTGTGAACATCTGTAGAATAGCTAAGGCGACTAAAGGAAGCCTTTTCCAATTCCAGAGGATCTGATATCCAACTCCACTCTCTTGTCTCTCCCTCCCAAATTTGGCATTACAAATGTTTGTGACTACACCTGAGAATACCACCCACCCCACCCCACCCCCGCTTTTGAATATATGGTCTGGCTATGTTGCCCCAGCTGGTCGCTAACTCTTGGGCTCAAGTGATTTGTTTTTCATTTCTTTCTTTCTTTCTTTTTTTTTTTTTTTTTTGGAGACAGGGTTTCTCTGTATAGTCTTGGCTGTCCTGGAATCCACTCTATAGACCAGATTGGCCTCCAACTCTGAGACCTACCTCTGCCTCCTGGGTGCTGGGATTAAAGGCATTCACCACACCCAGTTTCGAATAAATTTTTAAAAATAAGGATTTTTTTTTTTATATATATAAGGCAGGTGTAGAGGCAAACACTTACAACCCCAGACTTGGGAGGGAGAGGCCGGAGCATGGAGTTAGAGGCTGAACTCTAAGACCCTATCTCCAAAATAAACTAACTTCACTCACTATAATTAAGCTGCCCTCGCCGTTAAAAATGCTGCTGGCCCTTAACGGGACTATCATAAAGGCTTTCCCAATTTGTGACTTTGGTCACTCCTCCGTGGTTAAAAAAGAAAAAAAAAACAACAACGGCTTAACTCTGAAACACTTGGAGCACTGGCCTTAAGGTCTCCTCGCTATTGCAATGATCTCTGTTTCGAGAGGATGAGGTGGGGGGGGGGGGGGGGGGGGGTTCTCGGGGGGGGGGGGGAGGGGGGGGGGGGGAGGGGGGGGGGGGGGGGGGGGGGGGGGGGAGGGGGGGACTTGAGTATGAATTAGAAGCCAGACAAAGCAACACAACAAAACCACAGAAAACCATCTTTTTTTTCTTTTTGACCGTTCTCTACCTGTTTTACAATGTACCATACATCTATCCACCACCCCAAATCACTCAAGTCTGCCTCAGGCACAGGAGGTCACTTAGCGGTAGAGTGCTTGTCCCGCATGCCAACGCTCCTGTCTGTAACCCTAACACCGGGAGGGAGGGAGAAGTCTTACGAGCATATGTGATAAACCACTTTAATAGGGCAATCTTAGCAGTTAAAAAAAGATAATTACCTTCTTGGGTTCATGGCGATCCACTAAATCTCTAACGAACTGGTACCGTTGTTTGTATAATGGCGGTTTAAACCTAATAACCCTCTCTGGACAAACCTCTTCAAAATTACCTCCAACCACACTGCCGCACTGAAAGATTTTAAACAAGTTCTCACTCACACATGACTTTAGATATTTAAGAAGAAAACAAAGAAAATTTCTTCTCCCCAATTAACTGGGCAACAACAACCTCCACACAGCTTAAACCTCAAGTCATCGGGCAGCACCCCACCCCTCCCCTCCCATCTCCACCCCACCACACCTCCTCTTTTCAGCATCCCATAGCTGGGTTTATGCTTCCGTAGCTAATCTGCAGAGGTTGTTTTACTGTGTGAACTGCCAAAGGCTGTGGTCCAGACAGACCAGAGGTGAGGAGACACTGGGCAGACCACAAACTCCCTCAGCTCCCAACCTTTGCTCAAACCTCTAAGGCCCCTTCTCTAGCAGGCTTTGATTCAGGGTTTGAATCCCAGGCTGTGGAGGGCATACGCCAGTTTTAGCAAGAACTGCTGAACTCAGTTTAAGGTGAATTTCCCACTCTTGACACCTGAGCACCCTCACCATCTAAAGCTCGGATTCTAGATGGTATTTCCTCTTAATTTTCTAGGCACAAACCCTCTTCCCTTCCCCTCTTCCTTTTACATATCTCTATCTATATAGGTTTCTCCATCCTCAGCTGAGTTAAACTCTGTGATGATTTTACTGCCACAGTCCTAAATCAGAATAGACTCTTTTAGCAGGTCCAGGAGAAAAAGAAATGTTAGCTGTGCCTACTATTCCTATCAGTGCTGGAAAGAAGTGAACCAGACTAAACCTGTACCTAGAGCAATGATATCCAATGATTTCCAATAAACGCAAAGTCAAGTGTGGCTGGGATTTAGATTAGTGGTGACCACCTGTCTTGCATGAGCGAGGCCCTGGCTTCCATCCCCAGCAATACAACAAAACATACGCCACACACGCACCCAAGCCCCTGCCTGCTAGCTCTCGCTCTCTCTCTCTCTCTCTCTCTCTCTCTCAACCCCAGATTTCACACTTGTTAGTGCTAATATTAATCAATGGAAGGTTTGGTGCCTTCCTCAAGTGCCCAAATGCTGCACAGCACGGATGCTCAGCTTAGGTCTCCAAGTGTGGTCCCTAAACCAGTATAGCGGCTTCCTGGAAACTCAGAGAAATGCCAAGTCTCAGGCCTCAACAGACCTCCTCAGATAGAAGACTCCACTTTAAACAATCCAGGGAAAGGAAAGGAAAATAAAAAGACCCATTTGCATGTCTAGAAGTATTTTTTTAATAACTAACATCTGTACTTTTACTTTACATACATCAAATGTGAAATTTTCACTGACCATTGATGTCAGTCTTAGTTTGCACCCCAGGGGAAGCAGGGGCCTAAATAGGATAATTTGTCATTTCTCCACATACACCCCTCCGACACCCCTGTAGGTGGGTGAGAAGGGTGACATTTACCGGTATGTTCTTTTCTGCCACTTCCATTTTGTTTCCAACTTCCGTTGCGACAAAAATAATAATAGTGATAATGCAGATTTATCCTCCGGGCTCTGTATCAGAGACTCAGCAGCAACTCTGCTGTAAATGCCAAATGCTCCCTTTTCACACGAGACGCCTAGAAGAAATGATGGCCCAGATGAAAAGGGGGAGGTGTTGGCCTTCCCACCTACCACTGGCCCACAGAATTCAGGCAGTAAATACTGAGACACGGACGATAGGGTCTGGAAGTTCCAGCTCGGCAAAGGACGCTGCTACTCTAGTTTGACCATAACCAGTTCCGGGTGATACAAACTTATTGCTAAGATCCTCGACCTCGGGGGATGGAGGCTCCTCAGTTGGTAGAATGCTTACCTAGCACGCACGAAGTATATTCGATCCCCAACACCGCATAAAACCAGACCCGGTGGCATAGAGAAGTTCAAGGTCAATCTCGAATTCTCAACCTCAACCAAATACTGCTTTCAGTAACTTCTCAGGCACCGCCAAATAAAACTTGGGGGTGGGTGGGAGGGCTGACATTAATAAGCCAGTGATGCTGCAATACTGACCCAATCCGGCCTCGGACTTGAATGTTGGTATTCTACTACACACGTTTCTATCACTTAATCGGAAGTAGGCAAGATCTCAGCCACCAGCCTGTTGGGTACGAACCTCAGTTGGGGGTGTGGGGTCAGTATTCCCTCTGTCGCCCGCGTCCAGCCGCAGCACCACTCACCCAGAGATAAGGAGCGAATCCACCCTAGAAAAGCCCGCTAGGCAGACCAAGCACCGCCCACTCCCGTGTAGCTGCGGCCCCGCCCCCTGCCTTCCGCGCAGCCGCGCTGCTCCACGCGGCTCTCCGCACCTGGCTGGCCGCACCTTTCCGCCCCCGGCGCCGCGCGCCTGCGCTCTCCGCCCTCAGGGTCCCCGCTGGGCGAGCGGAGCCCGGCCACGCTCGGGCCCCGTGCCTCCGGGCTGCCGTCTCCACGGCGTCGGTTTTGGGTCACTTAACGGCCGCTGTGGCGCATGCCCCGAAGACATTTTCCAGCTCGTCCGAACCTTGGCGACCACGGCTCTCAGCCCCTCCGCATCCCAGGCCCTCGCGCTGCGGCGACCTGGCCCCTACCCCGACTGTTGGGTGCGGCCCAGACGGGCGGGCGAGCGGCCGGGCTGCTGCGGCCTTGGCGGCTGTTAGGATCGAGGCGTCCCGGCTGCGAGGCTCCGCGTGCCCGGTAGAGACGTGGAGAACGCCCCGGGCCAATGGCAGGCCACGGAAGAGGCGGGTGGGCCCAGCGCGTGCCGGCTGGCCCAGAGCAATATGGCGCGAGGGCCTTCTAGGGACCGTAAACTGGGGAAAGTTGAGTCCCAGTCACCTAAGCCTTTTTCCATTTCTTTTTTTTTTTTTTAGCTCTACATTTTTTCCTGCCTCTCCTCTCCTCCCATCAACCCTCCCCCAGGTCCCCCATGCTCCCAATTTACTCAGAAGATCTTGTCTTTTTCTACTTTCTACTTCCCATGTAGATTAGATCTCTGTAAGCCTCTCTTAGTGTCCTCATTGTTGTCTAAATTCTCTAGGATTGTGGTTCACGAACCCCACATCAGACAGAGGTCTGATCTCCAAAAAAGAACTCAAGTAATTGGTCACCAAAAGAACACATAATCCATTTTTTTGTTTGTTTTGTTTCTGTTTTTTCGAGACAGGGTTTCTCTGTGGCTTTGGAGCCTGTCCTGGAACTAGCTCTGTAAACCAGGCTGGTCTCAAACTCACAGAGACCCGCCTGCCTCTGCCTCCCTAGTGCTGGGATTAAAGGCGTGCGCCACCACCGCCCGGCCATAATCCAATTTTTTAAAAATGGAGTACAGACCTAAACACCTAAGCTCTTAAACATATTCTTTCAGCTTCCAACGCTCAACTTTAAAAAAAAAAAAAAAAAAAAAAAAAAACCACGTACACTTTTAAGAATTACCTGATCTCAGAAAACGTGTTATGCCTCTTTTCCGTCAACTTTACGCACGCTCTATGCTACCAAAGAAGAGATGAGGAGAGGGCGGGGTGGGGAGGACCGGCTTTAAAAGTAAAAACTGAGGCAGGTGTGAAGGCGCGTTGCTGTAATCCCAGCACCTCAAGTGGAAGGTGGTGTCAGAATCAGGAATTCAAAATCATCATCAACAACATTGTTGGAAGCCAGCCTGGGCAGCATGAAACCCTTGTCTCAAATTCATTTATTAATTTATCCCAAAGTTTGTGTTGACTAGTAAATAGCCTACTAATATATCATAAATGAGCTGAACATGATAGTGCCATGCCCATGGTACCAGCACTTGGAGGTAAGGATCAAAAATTCAAGAGCAGCTTCAGGTACTAACGAAAAGCCACACATGAAATATTAACCATTCAAACGCTCACTGAGTGCGCTATGCAATATTGTGATGTTGATGGTTACAGGGTAGCACAAAGATAAATTACATCTTGTTTTCAGCATTTTAGAGCTTAGAGTGTATGGAGAAAAATATGTGTGAACCGGGCTTCATAGATAGGATCGTGTAGCATTACAGTTTGAGAGACTCCTGGAGGCTTGGCACACGCGCAGTTCAGACAGGTGACCTCAGCACTAGGGAGGTGTGCTGGTAAGTGGTGTCACCTTGACACGGTCTAGAACCCCAGAGCGTGCCCTTGGTGGGGGATTGGTGTGATTCCCTCGCTTGAGATGGAAAGGCTTGACCACTGCAGGTGGAGGTACTCCTTCCTGCCTTCAACTGGAAGAAAGGGACAGCTGAGGTAAGCATTCATTCCTCAAACTCCTGCTCCTGGGACTTCCCCAAGGGATGGGGGTGGGGAGAAGGGCTGGAACCCGGAACTTGGAGCCAAAATAATCCCTTCCTTCCCTGCTTGAATGGCTTTTGTCAGGGTATTTTATCTGTGAGATAGCAACAGTGAGGCTCACTGAGGAAAAATTAGTTCCTCTGGACAAAAGAATTAAATCTCTGACCTAGGTGAGCACCTAACATTCCGTTTGGTCTGGCCCAGGAAAAGACTGCCCCTCCAGAAGTCCAGAAGTGTCTTCCCCCAAGGCTCCTGTATTGAAGGACAGGATCCAGCTGGTGTCACTATTGAGAAGTAACTGGATGAGGGTGGCGGAGGGGGGGGTTGTTAATGACCCATTGATGAATTTATGTCTTAATTAGCTGAATAGGCTAAGAGGTGGTGTAATTACTTGTCATGGATGAGAAGGAAACACGGAACACGCAAAAAACCCGCTTAGGAGTTTATTAGAGGGGGCGTGAATAGGCGTGGGGAAGTCAGTGTGCAGAGAGAGAGAGAGAGAGAGAGAGAGAGAGAGAGAGAGAGAGAGAGAGAGAGAGGAAGATGGCACATCCAGCTTTTAAAAGCTGCTTAGTGCATGCGCACAGGGGGTTGACATGGTTATGTCATAGGCAGATGACTGAGGGGGGCTCTCACATGCACGCAAGGGCTTAGCTGAGTCATATGTTGATCACATGGGGCCCTTTAACATCCAGGGGGGTGCCCGTTATGCACTTCTGCCTGAGGGCTTGTCTGCATATGCATGGCCCCTAGAACCCTTATATGGCTGAAATCATTACAGGAGGGTCCTAACTGGGAGAAGTCACTCCCTGAAAGTGCGCCCCTTCCTCCCTGCTTTCTGGCTTCCACAAGGTCACCATGGAAGCTGACCTTTACTACATGGTCCGATTATTATAGCATTCTACCTTACTGAAAAGTTTTTGTGTTAACACCCGATTCTGTATTACCCCCTCGGTACAGTTTGCACGCCACTGTACCTTACGTGAATCGGGCAAGGGCCTGGAGATTAAAAGAACACACCAAGAGACCTGGGTCATTCAAAAGATCAGCCGAATGCCAAATGCCGTTTATTCAACCTTGGGGAGATCCTCATATACCTAGCTGCTGCACAAGGATTTCTGCCCAGGCAGGTGGGAAATTACCACACCAAAGATGGAGTCAACAATGCCCTACAGCTAATCACCAGTCGGGGCAGAAGGAGCACAGGAACAAACAATGCTTTAGCTGGCTGACCAGAAACTGTCCTCAAGATGGACCCCAAGAACAATGGAAGACTCGGGGCCCTACATTTTTGCACCCCCATAAGCCTCTCCACTGATGAGGTAATCCGAATCAGACCCAATCAAACCGAATTAGGAAAAAACCCAGGTGCTCCTAGGTGGCATTCCAGGCCCTCAGAGAGGACATGGATGTGAAAGATCAGGAAACCACGTGTTTGTTGTCTTGGTTGCTGTTTAAATATCCTGTGGGCGTGGTCTTGGGCATCTCTGAGAAGGGGGTCATCATTTGGCCAGCTTTCTCGGGGGTAGAGTCTGGACTGAGACAACTTCCAGGGAAGAGGACTGGGGATGGAACTTTACACCCAAACATCCCCAGACTCTCTGGGTATAGGGGTGCCAGGGGCTGGGGTGACACTTCCAACCAAACACTTACCTCAGTCACAAAGCGTGGGGCCATCAGAACTTGGACTGAAACCTCTGAAATCATAAACCTAGATTCCTATTTTGAGATATTTCATCTCTGGTGTTTTGTTTTTTTTTCACAGCAGACGGATCTAGAATTTTTGCTAATTGACCCATTTATGGATGTAAATTCCTCATTTGCCTATATCATCCTCTCCTGGACTTCTACAAGGCTCTGAGCTCGGTCCCCAAGCCTCAAAATTATCCTTGCTTCTGTTTGCTCTGCCCTTCCCAAATTTGAACCACCACCAGACTCCAGACTTCAAGCTGTGAGCTGCGTCTGTTCCTTTCCACAGCCAATGCCTTAGTATAGAATTCGTTTGGCTGTAGCCTTTGTCAACATAACTCGCCTTCCTCTGGCATGGTGTAAGTCCCACTGAGACCAGACCGTGTTGAATTTGATGTCCAATAATTTAACCTCAAGTACTGAGTTTACTTTGCTCCCTAAACTTTCAAAAATGTCTTCTGAAAAAAAAAAACAAGAATAAACTGCTCGGTGGCACAACACTTTAATCCCAGCACGGGAAGGCAAAGGCAGGCAGATCTGTGAGTTCCAGGCCAGCCTGCTCTTCAGAGTGAGTTCCAGAACAGCCAGGGATACCCAGAGAAACCTCGTCTTAAAAAAAAAAAAAAAAAAAAAAAAAAAAAAAAAAAAAAAAAAAAAAAAAAAAAAAAAAAAAAAAAATCTCACAAATAGCTTTATTGAACAAGTAATGGATCAAATTCTGTTTTGAGTGAGAAAAAAACCAGTTCTCTTGGTAGCATTGTAGGCCAACCAGCGTGTAAAGGCTTCTGACATGCAATAGGAAATCAAGTTACTTGGGAGACTGAGGCAGGTGAATCACTAGATCCCTGGATTCAGGAGTTCAAAACTAGCCTGGACCACCCTGTCTCAAATTTTAAAAATAAAATAAAGGTTATCCTGGATGCTAACGTAAACATGGTGCTCATAACAAAATGAGGCATGTGGTGGTCTTGAGAGAATGATTTTATTATTGCATATAAGAAAAGCTATAAATCGTGCGTAGATAAAAGGAAGACTGACCGTTTAAAAGTCCCACATCCTTCGACCCTTCTATCGAGCAGTGTGCTCTATTTCGTGTCCTTTGGAAGTTATATGCATTTTATTGGATGAATTTCTTTGTTTTGGAGACAGGGTTTCAGTGTGTTGCCAGTCTTGCCCAGGCTACCGCAAGTTTCTGATCCTCCTGCTTCTGCCTCCTGAGACACTGGATCTCCACATCTGGATACTCCCACATCAGACCTGGGTCTTGTGAGCTCCAGTGACTAGCATACCCATAGTGCTACTTTCTAGGCCCAGCATGGAAGAAACTGGCAGCTTACCCTCCTGTCTCTAGAATGCTCTGTCTTAAAACCAGGCATGACCTGTGCAAGAACCCATGGGGAGACACCTGGGGGAAACTGAGTCACCATCCTCCCACACCTCACAACTGTCATCCAGACATCCTGGGAATGAATCTTCCAGGCTCAGTCTGCTTTGCCTACCTCCTTGCAGACTGTTAGAGCCTCTTTGTCCATGTGCACAGAAAGTTGATAGTGACTGATAGTTTACCTTCCAGCAAAAAGGCATTCGACCAGTGCCGACTTGATTGGGCTAAGAAATGCCAAGGGCGCTGAGGATTTGCCTCCATCGCTGCATGAGCATGAGAACCTGTTCAGGTTCCCAAGACCTCACACAAAAGCCAGACATGGATGTTACGTTTGTAACCTCAGTGCCAGCAGGATGGAGACAGGCAACGCCCTAAAGATGCTGTCCATCCCATCTAGCTGAATCTGGGAATTCCAGGTTCAGTGAGACACCTGTCTCACATATATAAGGAAGAAAGCCACTGAAGAAGACTTCCCCATATATCGACCTCTGACCTACACACACACCTATATATACATCCAAACATATAAACATATACAACACACACACACAATAAATAAAATGAAATAAGTAAGTGTGGTGGTTTGAAAGAATGGCCCCCATAGGGTCACAGAGAGTGGCACTCTTAGGGGGTGTGGTCTTGCTGAAGTGGGTGTGGCTTTGTTGGAGGAGGCGGATCACTAGGAGGGGTGGGCTTTGAGATCTCAGAAGCTCAAGCCTTCCCAGAGGCTCACTGCTGTGGATATATGTACACTGTATGGAGAAGATACACTGCTGTGGTTGGTGTAATAAGAGCTGAATGGTCGTAACTACTCAGGAGAGGATAGGCAGGATTTCCAGGAAGAGAAAGAAGAGAAAGAATCTAGGTGTGCGGGGAGTTGCCAGCCCCTGTCTGCCTGAGACCAAAGTGAAGAGTTTTGGATTAATTCTATTGGCAGAGGAAATCTCAAAACAGCCTAGTATTGACTCTGCCTTGTGGATATTAGTGTTCACTCTTATGAAGATCTAAAAGTGAAAAGTAGCAACCTATTCAAAGAAAATACAAAATGTACAGTTCAAGGAAAAGAGAGACACCAGGAAGTGGATTGGAGCTAACCCCTGTAATCAAGGAAATAAACAGATTAAAGAAAAATTTGATGTTAAATAGAATAAAGAGACTGGTGACCTCAGGGCAAGACCCTACCCAGCTAAGCTTCCACCTTGTCAAAAGGAATTAAAGAACATCTTAGGTCCTAGTACGGTGGTACACACCTTTAATACCAACAGTCAGGAGACAGTGCAAATGAACTTCAGAGTTCAAGGCCAGCCTGGTCCACTGAGAGAGTTTCAGGACAGCCAAGCTTGGACAGTGAAGGACACTATCAAAAACAAAAGGCTGGTGAAGATGTAATTGAACAAGGGGCCTTGCTCAAGCAGCAGAACTTGGCAGCTTTGGCCTTGTGGTTCTGGCTTTAGAGCCAAGAACAGAAGAAAAGGGTTATGGAATCTCCCTCTGTGACTAAGAAAAGCCGCTGAGGCCGGGCA